CTGTCACAGTTACCAATAAGTATTTCTTGTTTTCCTTTTATTATTATTATTATTATTTGTTTATTGGGGCAGGACGTGCATGTGGAGGTCAGAGGCCAACACCCTGTCGAGGCAGGGTCTTTCTTGTCTCTGATGCTGCTCTGTTGTATACCCTGGCTGGCTGGATCAGGGCTCTGGTCCCTCCTGCCTGCCCCCCTCTGTCTACTCATCACAGCCCTGGCACCGCAAATGCAGGGCACTGAATACAGGTTCTTGTGGGGTTCCAAGCATTGAACTCTGGTCCTTGGACTTTCTCTAAGTTATCTCCTTAGCCCCATGTGTGGTGTACGCGTGTGTGTGTGTGCGCGCGCGCACACACACACACACACACACACACACGCGTGCACGCGCATGCGCATCTGTGCATACACTCGAATGTAGATAAAAATCAATGAAACCGAGTATGTTTGTGGCTCCTGTAGCTCAAATGTATCAAAGTCAAGTTTGCATCAAGGCCACCTTGAGATTCAAAGATTGGTTCTGGGCAGCTCAGGGGTGATTCTTGGAGCTTTTAAGTCAAGCATTCCTTTGTCTGCCTGATCTGAGTATTTCCTCTTCTGGCAGCAAATCCCCACACTGTTTGTAGGACCTGTGGCTGCCAGGACCAGGAGCTTTCAGGGGAAGTAGGGAACTTCCCCCAGGGCATTTGGTGGAGGCTGCAGTCGGACAGAGGCAGCTCTGCCCATGTCGCCTGCTGACTGATTATAAAAGAAAGGAAGACAGACGATGCCAGCTCAGTAGCTTTACTCCCAATGGCCGGGCCATCGTAGGGGTCCCATAGTTTCTCTCTGACAGGAGAGACATGAAAACTATGATTGGGAGTGGCCACTCCTAAGCGCTGGAGACCATGGATAGCTTTGTCCCTAAAAGCTTCCTCCTTGGACTATACTCACAGAGGTATCCAGGTTACACATAAGAAAGAATAAGCAGCTGAAGCCATAATTTTTATACTACAGAACACAAGAGTCCCCTGCTCCTTTCAAATCTCCCAACCAGATGTTCTCGTCCCTTTAATGGGGGCAGTGTCCGGCTCCTGACCTCATTCTCCAGGCAGGGCTGTGAGCCCGATCGATCGATGGGGAGGGGGGGCTGTTCCGAGGGAGGAGTCAGCCACCACCGGCCAAAGGCTCGCTTAGTTGAGAGCATTGCCGGTTGCTGCTGACATCTTGAAATTCTCAATCATTTCTGAACAAGGTAACCTCCAGCATCCAATGTGCCTCAGAGAAAGTGACAGCTTGATCACCGTGTACACGGGAAAGACAAGTCCAAAAGGCCACCTTCTCTCTGGGTCCCGGAGTTCTACAGGGGATCCCACAGTCTGAAACCTCATCAATGACCCAGTTAACTTTAAACTTCTCAACATATAAAAGGCATAGGCAGGGCTGGATGTGGCTTGCTTTGTAGAGTGCTTCTGTAGCATGGATGAGGTCCTGGGTTTGACCCCACCCTGGCCCCCCCAAACTGGGTGGGTGCGGTGGTTTAGAAAGTAGAGCAGGAGGGTCAGAACTTCAAGGACGCCTTTGGCTACAAATCAAATTTAAGGCCAGCCTGAGCTATATGAGACTTTCACAAATTAACTGAAAATGCGGTCTACGGGTCGAGGTAGCATTGGCTGGTAGCATGCTTGCCTGGAACACTCAAAGCCCTGAGTTCAACCTCCTGCACCACATAAGCCAGGCATCCAGGCGTTGCTGTGTCTGTCTGAAATCCCAGCCCTGGGCAGGGGGTAGAGTGGAGAGAGTCAGAAGTTCATCCTTGGCTGCATAGGAAATCTGAGGGCAGCCTGAGCTTTGAGAGCCCCTCACACAAGAAAGAAGAGAGAGAACAAAGGCCCTACTGCTTTAAGTGTTAACCTCACTCAAAACACTAACTTAACTACAACAAGGACCGAGGGCACAAATGATGACATCCAGAGAGCTAAGGCCACAGCCTCCCTTCATCTTCCCACGCCCATTTTCACTAGCCCTGGCCCATTGCCCAAGGCCGTCTGTCCCTCACCCAAGTGTCACAGTCCTCTCCTTGTAGGTCTCCGTACTCAGCCCAGCAATGTGATGGCTTTAAACTTTGGTTCCCCCCCCCCCTTAAATGGTCCCCGTAGGTTGCCTGAGATTCGCACTGGCAGCAGGTCTGGAATCCGCGAGTCCTCAGCACTCCCCCTGAGGAGTAGCGGAGCTGGACTCAGCACGGAAACAACCCCACAGTGTTTTACTTAGCATCGGTCAATCTCTGATTTACATTTTCATCTTGCACCACAAGTGTAACTGTGGCCGTACGTCCCCCAGCCATGTTCAAGTGCATAACTTTCGGAGGCCCACAAAATTCACAGCCCAGCTGTGTGTGTTGTCTTAGGCCTGGAGGCTTCTAACCCAGCTGTGACAGGGTCCTCTGGCTTAGTTTGGGGTTTTCTCTTCCCCCTCCCGCCCTCCCTCCCACCTAGCTGTCTGTCTGTCTTGATCTAGGTCCTAACTAAAGGGGGCCCCTCTGAGCTCTATTGCATTTCCAAGGTAAAGCCTGGGCAGCCTCTGAGTCACTTTATCCACACCTCAAATTTGGATTTCTATGATCTATGAAACCAAGACATGTTGATTTAAGAAAATCTGACAGTAATTCAGACACTGTGGGTGGGAGTGGGCATGGATGGCTTCACTGCTTAAGAGCACCTACTGTTCATTCAGACAATTCCAGTACCCTTACCAGGTGGCTCACACACCAGTTCCATGGAACCTGACCCCATCTGACCTCCATGGGCAACACTCCCTCCCTCCCTCCCTCTCTCTCTCTGTCTCTCTCTCTCATGCGCGCGTGTGCGTGCACACACACACACACACACACACACACGGTGCAGGCACACATCCATACACAGAATAAATTTTTTTTTTAAAGAAAGGATAAAGAAACACAGACAGCTGGGCACTGGTGGCGCACTCCTTTAATCCCAGCACTCAGGAGGCAGAGGCAGGTGGATCTCTGTGAGTTCGAGACCAGCATGGTCTTCAAAGAGAGTTCCAGGACAGGCTCCAAAGCTACAAAGAAACCCTGTCTCCAAAAAAAGAAAGAAAGGAAGGAAGGAAGGAAGGAAGGAAGGAAGGAAGGAAGAAGGAAGGAAGGAAGGAAGACAACCAGACTGAGAAGGACAGGGTTAGGAGGCACCCCAAACAAGGTTTTCCTCTAACCAACACAAGCTTTCTCCCTTAGAAACCGAGTTTTCTTTACTCATGTGGACAGATCTGGGGTTAAGCTACAGTGTATCGTTTCTGTATGACTTGGGGGAAGGCACCTCCCACCGGTGTCCCACAGTAAAGGCTATCATGTCATTTAGTCCTGGCTGTGTAAACACCTGCCTGTGATTCTCACAAATCTCTTGAGGGACTGTCAATGACACAGAAAGTCCTGTCAATTTAAACATTCAACGCCTGCAAGGCTGATGGGAAGTTAAAGTTGATAGAAAGCATGGAGCTGTAACGAGTCTCTAAACACTTTAGGGTGCAGTGAACCCCCCCCAAACACACACGCACACACACATACACGCACGCACGCACACACACAGAGCACCATTGCAAGACCCAACACCTTCAGTTGCTACCCCACCCACATGGCCCGATGAGGCTTTTAGAAGCCTTTGTCTTGGATCCACGTCTCTCTTGAAAATGTTTCCAAAGGGATACACCCACCTATGGGGAAAACAGTAGCCCACAGGGGACTCCAAAGCCAACCCTGGATGGGCCAGTCCTGCCCAGTACACATAACCCCAGCGCAAAGCGCGGGCCTTCCTATGCAAACAGTAGTGTGGAGCAGAGCCTTCCTCAGCAGCTTGGGAGGAAGTCATGCGGTTTCCAAGGAGACGTCCAGTTAATGTTTTTAAGGAATGAATGGCCTTAGAGTGAGAAGTAAGGCCAGGAGAGGCTGCCGGAATGGGAAGGGGAGGGGAGCAGGAGGTGTGGGAGGGGGCTCATTAACACTTCTTAAATTAGAAAATCCTTAAATTAAAAATAGCAACCTAATGATTTCTAAAATTAGCCCTCCTTGCTTTCCATAAATACACACTTAGACCTCCCCAGACTGGTCCACTCACCAAGCCTTGTGGGCTCTGGCAGGCAGCTTCCCTACAGTCCTTAATGGGTAACTTCACCAGGGAGGGTTGGAGCCAGGGAGCCCAGTATAGTCCCCCATCGTAAACTCTGCAGACCCTGGGCCGCCTGGATCAGCTGGGGGCTGACCTGATTGGCTTGAGGGGGTCCGCCCCCTGGGCAAGCAAGGCAGAGCTGAGCCCTAAGCTGGGTACCCAGGTGTGGGCTGTACTCCTGTTATGGAACCTAAGTTCCTGGTCACCTGGGAACCCTGTCCCTGGGCAGGAGTCAGCAATCTTGTCACATCAGTTCTAAATTCCATAGCAGCCTCTGGCCTGCCTTTGGGGTGCCTGAGTAAGTCACCCCCTTAGTGACATAGCCAGCCACGGCTGTTCTCTAAGTCAAAACCGGTACGCACCTTAACACGTGCCAGTCAGTCCAAGCTGTGTGGATAAATAACACTTGTCATTAGTAATTATTGACTAAATAGAAGGAAGGTTCGGGTGCAACAGGAAAACCCGAGGGTAGACAAAAGTCAGAACTTCCTCCATGTGCCTCCAGTGAGCAGGTCCCAGGGGAGCCGTTCAGAATGCGGGCTCTGAAGTGCATAATTCCCTGGGCTCTCCAGGAAGCAGAGAGGACGGCATCTCTCTCTTCCACCTCTGTCCTTCTGCCTTGTCAAGTCCCCCCAGACCTTTCTACTTTTAGGATATGTTCATTATCATACCAACCGCCTATGGAAAAGCGTTTCGGTGACAGAAATTAATGCATCGAGATAATATTTAACCCAGTGCCTTTCTCTCACCCTCCCTCTCCTCCTCGGCTTTATTAGGCCTCCTGCCGGCACCTAAGGACCAGACCCGCCCCTGGGGACCTGGCCGCTGCCCGGCCCGGCGCTGCTAGTGGGGGCCTTTGGCCATGGCCAGCACGGCCGTCCAGCTCCTGGGCTTCCTGCTTAGCTTCCTGGGCATGGTAGGAACGCTCATCACCACTATCCTGCCGCACTGGCGAAGGACGGCCCACGTGGGCACCAACATCCTGACGGCAGTGTCCTACCTGAAGGGGCTGTGGATGGAGTGTGTGTGGCACAGTACCGGCATCTACCAGTGTCAGATCTACCGCTCTCTGCTGGCGCTGCCCCGGGACCTGCAAGCAGCCCGGGCGCTCATGGTCATCTCCTGTCTGCTGTCGGGCATGGCCTCCGCCTGCGCTGTGGTGGGCATGAAATGCACTCGCTGTGCCAAGGGCACGCCCGCCAAGACCACCTTCGCGGTGCTGGGGGGCGCCCTCTTCCTGCTGGCTGGCCTGCTGTGCATGGTGGCTGTGTCCTGGACCACGAACGACGTGGTGCAGAATTTCTACAATCCGCTGCTGCCCAGCGGCATGAAGTTCGAGATCGGCCAAGCCCTGTACTTGGGCTTCATCTCCTCGTCCCTGTCTCTCATCGGGGGCACGCTGCTTTGCTTGTCCTGCCAGGATGAGGCCCCCTACAGACCCTACCAGGCCCAGCACAGGGCTGGGGCCACCACCACAGCCACCGCCCCAGCCTACCACCCACCAGCAGCCTTCAAGGACAATCGTGCCCCCTCGGTGACCTCAGCCTCGCACAGTGGGTACAGGTTGAATGACTACGTGTGAGTTCCTTCCCCAGGCCTCTGCCAGCCCTGCTGGTCCCCAAGGGACCGCTGACACATGCAGGGACCTACATACATGTGGGAAAGTGAGCCCAGAACACAGGGAAGGATGCTTTTCAAAGCAAAGACTTCTAAAATGTGCTGTTTTTGTATTTATTACATGTATTTATGTGGGTGGTTTGATGAGGGCTTAATAAAGAGGGGCTTGGAGGCTTGGCCCATGGGGTTGGTTTGTGAGTCAGGGACGAGCCCCTTGGAAGAGGGTCTGTGAGGTGGACAGCAGGGGGCGCTCCATCTTCAGCATGGAAGAGCTCATCTGAGCCCTAGGGATGTGGAGTCTCCCCGTTGTGCAGACACACACTAAGGATGAAGACCCCTGAGCTTGACGCTGAAGCCCTAGCATTCTCTAGTGCATGATGGGAAAATCTGAGAAAGCTGGTTGCTGACCTCCCAGGAAGTCACAGAAACTCCAAGCAAAAGTTACTATCTTCCTGCACAAAACTGTTCTCACTTTAAAATAATGTATTGGGGTGTGTGTGTGTGTGTGTGTGTGTGTGTGTGTGTGTGTGTGCGCGCGCGCGCGCGTGCGTGCGTGTCTGTCTGCCTGTTTGAGGGAGAGAGAGAGAGAGTCTGTTCTGCCACCTTGAGGGACTTGGGATCAAACTCAGGTCATTGGGCCCAAATGCCTCTACCCACTGAGTGATCTTGGCCAGAAGTCCAGTCAGGAGTGCTTGGCCCCCAGGAACTTAGCTGAATTTGCTAGACTCTTTTCTGAGGCAACCAGTCCTAGTTGCCATGACAACAGGTTCTAGGAGGCTCCTTCAATTAGAGAGAGAGAAGAAAAAAAAAAAAAAAAAAAAAAAAAACTCTGAGAAAGTTGGGTGGGGCTTGAGAGCTGTGAGAGCCCTGGTACCTGTCCTTTCTGGCTTCAGTCACATGACCAGAAAGCTGACCGATGTCTCCATCAACCTCCCTCCTACAGCCTGACCCAGGGATCCTGGTTCTGGGCTCACATCCTTGCTCTGCCTCAGTCTCAGTCCTAGGCTTTGAGTTGAGAATCACTGTTGTAGAGCCTGACAGGTTGATAACCAAAATGACACTCTCTGGTGTCAGTCAAGCTTTGTCCTAACATTGCAGAGTTCTCTGGACCCTTGGGTCCTCGAATGCAATGCTGGGGAGGAAGCAGCTGCTATTTCTTGGCAGGCAGAAGCTCCCGGGAGTAGGCAGAGTTGAGGAATCTCTCTTGTCTCCTGCAGCCAATCACACCTACAAACCCTCTCTGTCCATGGAGCCTCACAGAGATCTCCTGGTATCTTAGAGTTATTATTGCTCTGGTGACACCATGACTAAAAAGCAAACTGGGGAGGAAAGGGTTTATTAATAGGCTCACACTTCCACAGCACAATCCATCACTGGGCAGGACAGGAACTCAAGCAGGGTGGGAACCTGGAGGCAGGAGCTGATGCAGAGGCTGTGGAGGGAGCTGCTTACTGGCTTGCTCATGATGGCTTGCTCAGCCTGCTTTCTTATAGAACCCAGGACCAGTAGCCGGGGGATGGCCCCACCCACCATGGGCTGGGCCCTCCCCCACCAACCACTAATTGAGAAAATGCCTTACAGCTGGGTCTCATGGAGGCGTTTCCTCAGCCGAGGCTCCTTCCTCTCCAATGACTCTTGCTTGTGTCATGAAGACATAAAAGTGTCCAACGCAACTGGCAGCATGTGGTAACTAGTCAGATAAGAGTCGCCTTGAAGGTCCCCAGGGATGGGCCCTCCCTCACAATCAGCAGCTTGTAAAATGAGGAACTCAATAGCATAAGAGCTGTGCATACAACTATGAAATTCTCAAAAATGGAGAGAAATTGAAGGAGAAGGGGAGATATGAGTTTGTCTCTGGCCTTAGATAGAGATGTCATGAGTCTCAGCTGCCTGGTATCTGAGGATGCGTGGCCCAGTTAGTAACAGCGGGCAGATCTCTGAGATTTCAAGGCCAGCTTGGTCTACAAAGTGAATTCCAGGGCAGGGATATATCCTACGTATACTACACAGAGAAATCCTGCCTCAAAAAAAAAAAAAAAAAAAAAAAAAAAGGATGGGGGATAAAAAAAAGATATTTATTTTTTGTTTGCTTGCGATACTCACATAGCCCAGGGTGGCTGGCTTGCCTAGCATGCACGAGGCCCTGTGTCCTGGCCCCAGCAGAGCTTAAACGGCAGCATGCGGTGACATGATACTTGCCTGTAATCCCAGAGTCTGGGAGGAGGCAGGAAGAGCGAACAAGCGGGCCTTGTTGTCTTCCTGGAGAGGAGCTCAGCCTGCAGTTCTCACAGAGGATCCTCTCACTTCCCCGTTCTCATTCACCCCCAGGACAAGCGTCTCTGCCGCCCCCCCCCCCCGGCCTCTTCTGCCACCTTACAATCAGGACCATTTCAGGACTAGGTCTTAACCAAGATGGACTCCGCTGAGGCCTCACGTTTCAGAGTGAAAAGGAAACATGAGTCAGGTTCGGATGTGTTCCAGGAACCCATTGTTACAACCTGGTATGAATTACAGCACTGCCCTTGTGGCTTGAGAAATGCTACATTTGGTTCTCTCTGAACTTGGCTCTGATCCTGGCAGGTCTTAGTCAGCCATGCTTTCTGGGGCCCTTCCTCCTCAGTTCAGGCCACCTGGTGCCCCAGCAAGGAAGAGCCTGGCTATCTTCAGGAGAAGTTAGAGGCCAGCCTTTCTCCCTTAGGGTGGTCCTGCATGTACACAGATGCCTTCCCACCCCGAGTCTCCTCCGCCCACCCCTGAGGAGAGACGGTGGAATCTTCCACCCGTGGATCCTTGGAGAGGACACCCTTTTCTCAGTGGGCCTCAAGGAAGCCATTTCCTATCATGGGCCTGCACCTCTGCTGCACACTCAGCTTCTCTGGACCACAGACCCCAAAGCTCTGGTGGGTTGGGTCTTTCGAATCTAAGATCTCTGAAGTCTCCCTGACCGTCCTAACTTCACGCTGGCTGCAGTGACCATGGTGGAAACTAAAGCAGTCTGGAATTAGTACACCAGGCATTTACTTTAGTGATGAACCAGAGATGGAACCAGGATTATGACCTTAGGACTGGGCACCGGGTCATAGCTTCAGGTCAGGTGTCCCTGGCTGTGGTCGGCATGTTCCACAGACTGAGGAGGGAAAGAGGACACAGCCTGAGTTTGAGTCCCGGAACCCACAAGGTGGAAGGAGAGGGCTCTTGAAAGTTGTCCTCTGTTTCAGAGCTTGTTTACCCGAAGCCCTTACACACACGTGCACACACACGTGTGCGCACGCACGCACACACGCAGGCACACACACACACACACACACAGAGGACTGGCAAACGATCACACGGGAGAGAGGAGAAAACGGGTGTGGTGTGACAGCTGAGTTGAACAGTGTTTCTGAGACCGTGGGGACTGTCTGTAGCTGTCCTGGGGGCTCAGGAAATGGCTCAGCTGGTCCAGTGCCAACCTAGCATACATGAAGTCCTAGGTTCAGCCCCCAGCACCATTAACTGGGTAGGGTGATACACACCCAGCACTCGGGAGGCTGAGGCAGGAGGGCCAAGGGTTCAAGGGTCAGAAGTTTAGTCATCCTTTGGCTATGAGTGGCGTGTGGGTAAGGCCTGGGACACCAGAGAACCTGCCTCAGAAAAGACATCAATAAAAGTCTTAGAGTTCGTGAAGTCTCTCTTCTTACCAGACAGGGGAAGAGGGAAAGAGAGAGGGACAGGACAGAGACAAGGGAAAACATTGTAATCCGAATTAAAAAAAAAAAAAAAAAAAGTCTATTACTGGGCAGCTGTCCAAAGGAAAACATATAACTCTGTCTAGTAAATTATTTTAAAATACTACCAACAGGCTTTGCAGGTGCGTGGAAGGGGGAAGGCTTTAGTATACAGCCCATTTCCTGCCAGAGAAAGGCCTGCAGAGGTCACCCCATAAATCACCCGCCCAGGCTAATCACCTGCCTCTTCCTCAAGCCTCTTCTTGCTCGGCCAGCTTCACACAGGCAGGTAGGCAGCCCAGCGCAGGTCTGCTTAATTCCCCTCTCCTGAAGGCCCTTCTATTTAAACGCTCACCACCTTTCCCAGCGGTGGCAAATGATTGACTGACTGGATTGGTCCCTCTGCCAGGGCAACCTACCAGCTCCTGCCCTGGGCATCGGCTGCTTCCACCTCTGGGGAGGTCTGGGAATTTTTTAGTCATCTCAGGCATTTTTCCAACATAAGGCATTTGCATAGACTTCTCATCTATAGTAAACAGAGAGAAAACAGGAGGGTTTTGGTCTAGTGGCTTCAACAGGTGTCTGAGGAAGTAGGTGCTTACCGTGGCTGCGGGTTCTATGACCTTGCCAATCGTGAGCTGAATGCTGTGAGGGGGCCCTGGGAAGTGACTAGGGAGGGGGAAGGGGAAGCCTAGGGCTGCCCTGGGAGTCCTTGATCCAGTCTGCTCCCCCCCCCCCCGAAAGATACTTACACTATCACACACATTTAGTTTTTGTTTTTGAGACAAGGTCTTGCTATGATATAGCTCAGGCTAGCGCTCGGGTAAATCTTGACATTAATAGGCCTCCACCATCTCACCCAATGATGTCACATGCTTTTCTTTTTATGAAATCAAAGCTGATTAAAACCAGAATGAAAATAGCAATGGATAAAATGTAAAAGGCGACAATATCCGTGTGAAGAAAGGCGCCGCAGTTGGCAGTTGTGGAGAGGGGTTAGTGATGACGTGGCTCATGGCTGGGGAGGAGATTCTGCGTGCTCCGCACTCCCCTTGTGGACCTTGGAGGCAGTGATACAGAAGCCCTTTGCGAGAGCAGTGTTCGAACGCTCCTAACTGCCAAGCCAAGTCCCCAAATCCCCACACATTCCAAGAACTGAAATGTAAACTCAGGTACAGCCTGAGATAAGGACAAAATTAATAATGTTGAAGCAAAAAAGAAGTTAATGCTCAACCTACTGGAAGTGTAAAAACAAGCCTCTCCCTTTTTATTTTTTCTTATCTTAAAGAGGCATACAAACTACAGGCTATCTAAGACGTTACAATTGCAAGGTTACTATGTATCAGAACTGGGGGGGGGGGGCGCAAGGCTGAAGGCAGAATGGTACTGTATCTGCAAATGCTTCACGGACTACAAATCAAGCACTCTAGAGGGAAACATTAACACACACACTCACTCACACACACGAAGAGGAGCAAGGAAGAGGTTGATGATGAATCCAAGATTTATTCTGAAGGGCAAGACAGAAAGTGAAAGGGACCAGTGTGGCTAGAAGAACGGCAGTGAGCAGAGCACAAACTAAAAGTAAAGGCCAGTAAGGTGACTCAATGGGTAAAGAAGCTTGCTGCCAAGTGTAAAGACACAAGTTCAATCCCAGGGGCCCACACGGTAGAAGGAAGAGAACTGACTTCCACAAGTTGTCCTCTGACCCCCACACATAAGCTGTGGCACGTGCATGTCCATTCATATGCACAAATGCATACACAAACTAAAAAAAACAGAAAAAAGAAAAAAAGTAACTAGAAATGTTATATTAAACACACACACACACTGGGGTGGTGCACACCTTTAATCCCAGCACTTGGGAGGCAGGAGCAGGTGTATCTCTGTGAGTTCAAGACCAGCCTGATTTACAGAGTGAGTTTCCCAGGACAGCCAGGGCTACACAGTGAAACCCTGTCTCAGAGAAAGAGAAAGAGAGAGAGAGAGAGAGAGAGAGAGAGAGAAAGAGAGAGAGAGAGAGATCAGGGATTCTGAGGCTGTACCGCTTTCCCCTGACCTACTGAAAGCTCTGTGATTTAAAAAGTTATTTTTAATTGGGTAGATTTACATGTGACCTTAATACTTTATTAAAATCTACATTAGCATTTGTAATAGACTGACCTGTTGGGGGATCTCTCTGTAAGAGAATACGCATGTGTGAAGACAGCCGGCCAGAAGATAGTAACGCACTGAGTTATCCAGAGGAGAAATCAGAGCAAACAAATATTAACAACTTCAGGCCATAGGACCCAGCTGGGACTGGATAAATAAAAGAATCTGGGACACAGAGAGCCCCAGGAGCAAGTGCACAGAATGCCACAGGAGCCACCTTACACACAGCTGAGACTTTGGCTGCACCATCAGGGGAGGTGGAGTGGTGTGCAGCCAGCTGCAGCGGTGCAGCCAGCTGCAGCCACCAACGTTTCCGTCACTGTGCTGGGCAGTTTCATGTCAACCTGACACAAGTTAAGTAAGAGGAGGAACTCTGGATTGAGAAAATGCTGCTTCCATAAGATCGTGTTGTATGCAAGCCTGTAGGGTTTTCTTAATTAGTGATTGACAGGGGAGGACCCAGCCCATGGTGGGCGGTGACATCCCTGGGTTGCTGCTGGTCCTGGGATCTGTAAGGGAGCAGGCTGGGTAAACCATGGGGAAATAAGCCAGCAAGCAGCATCCCTCCGTGGCCTCTGCATCAGCTCCTGTCTCCAGGCTCCTGCCCTGCTTGAGCTCCCGTCGTGACTGCCCTCAATTCACCCTTGGCAGTGGAGCTGGGCCATACACATGGACGGAGGAGAGCTCGCCCCAGGGACAGCCTCTGCAATAAAAGACTGGCAAGTCCACCCCGCTCCAGCTGAAAGCAGAGCCGCCTTGCACAGCCCCAGTGGTTGAGCAGAGAAGATAAAGGGAGGGTAGAGGTGGTCCAGAGCCTCCAGCGGGGGCTGGGACAGTTGCCCAGCAAGGCCTGACTATTACACAGGTCTGCGGCTGGCAGGGCTGTTTCTTCCATTTGTCTACCTGCCAGGAAACAGGAGCCCTGGATAAACCCACAGCGCCGGTCGGTCTTAAAAGACAAAGTAGCTCCGTGGGCCAGAGCCGAGAGCACAGACCCTGTTTTGTGCCTCCTGCCATGGCGGCTCCACGGGTCTGCCTCTTGGGTTTGAAATGGTTTCCTCCATCCAGGGAAGTGCAGTGGTTTGGCTTGCAGGGCTGAGGGCCTCCCTCTCCCCAAGGGTGGTTATCCTGGGGAAGAAAGCGCTTGGGAACTGTCTTGAGTACAGGGCAGAGTGTGGCTGCTGTGTGGGGCTCAGCGGACACAAGCTGAACTGGGGTTTGACCCCGTGGAGGGGAAGGCCTGCCTAAGGCCATGTGCAGGAGTGCCCAGCGGGGAAGCTGAGGCTGGATAGGAAGCAGCTGCAGGGATGCATTAGCCCACAAGGTCTTCCGGTCGGTCACATGTGTTTGCTCTTAGGGAAGAAACTGCCTGTCTTTGAGACTGTTCCAGTGCCCAGCTGTGGTCCAGTGCTCTTTCATTCAGGTGAGGACATCTGGATGGAGGGGAGTCTACTCAACATCTGGGAGGCCAAGTGAGCCTCGGCCTTAGGCTGCAGGCTCTGCTCTGGTCTAGGCTGGTTCTACTCACTGAGCCACATGCCCCCCGCCTGAGTTGCTGGCTAATTTTGCGTGTAAATTCAGGGTTTTTTTTTTTTTTTTTAAGCAATTAAAAGTTAAATCCCTGGAAGCTGGAGAGATAGTTCTGAGGTTGATGGTGCACTCTGCTCTTGCACAGGGCCTAGGGTTTAGTTGCTGGTTTCCCTCAGGATATAGCTCATCACCACCGCACAGGGGATTGATCAGATGTCCCCTTCCCATAGCTCATCACCGCACAGGGGGTCAGATGCCCCTTTCCCGCCTTCCCAGGCACCAGGTACCCATGTGATACACACACACATACTTTCAGGCAAACACTGACACATCCCGTATTCTGAAAACGTTAAATTCCTCAAGTCTGAGCAGCGAGATCCCCAATAGACTTGCATGTGGCTTGAGTTGTGGGAAGTCTGTCTGTCTTTCCTTTCTTCCCTTTCCTTTTTGAGATAGGGTTTCTCTGTGTAACAGTTCTGGCTGTGCTGGAACTCACATGGTAGACCAGGCTGGCCTTGAACTCACAGAAACTGCCTGTTTCTCCCGAGTGCTGGGATTAAAGGCGTGCAGCTTTGATGTGTCTGATTCTTCTGAGTTCCCCTGGAGAATTCAGAGCCCTTGCAAAACAGTTATGAAAGGACTTGGGACACCAAGTAGTCTCACAGCTGACAATTGCTTGGGCGGATGGTTCCCTCAAACAACTCCAGATAAGGTTTTGGTATGTGGGAACTGACTTGCCAAAAGGTACAAACTGTAACAAATTTAAAAAAAAAGTCGTTTTTTTTTCTTTTTTAGTAACTGTCAGTTCACTGGCTGATTCCAGTTTGGCTAAACCAAAATTCATCTCCGTGTGACCCTCACTCTTCCACGGACCCACGCAAAAGAAAAAAGACACGGAGTGAGAAGTCTGTCTTCCATGGTGCGGTGGGGCATCTCCAGCAGCTGGAGGCTCCATTCCCGTCTAGGCAAGAGGGGCCCTGCCGCAGACCTGCTTCCTGCCGCAGACCCACCTCTGTGACCCCCTACCCTCCGGGTCTGTCCTCTGGAGACCCCGCAGTGATGCCCCCATTCTAGGGCGCATAGGGAGGGGCGGGAAGTAGATGGGGGAGGGGCGCTCCCAAGCCTCCCACTTCTGCCCCCAGATGCCTGTTTCCCCAAGGTCAGACAAACGCCTTGACCAGGGGCCAAGTGATCGGGAGTGAATCCCCCTGGAGGTGACTTTGACATCTGAGGACGCCAAGCTGGGAGGAGACACTCAGTCGTCTGAGTACTCAGGGACAGTACTGGGTGATCAGAGCTGAGTTCTCCTCCTTCCAGAGCCCAGGTGGAAGCCCGGGCTCCGCTAGTGAGGACTAGACATTCCAGGCAGGACACAAGGCGGAGGCCACACGGAAGAAAGCGACACCTCACACCTCAACCACCACTCGGGCTGCCGAGGTGGCTCAGTCAGTACAGATGCTGCTGCCAAGCGTGGAGACCCGAGTTCAGTCCTCAGTGCCCACACTGTCAAAAGAGAACCAGCTGCCACATTGCTCTCAACCGTCTACATGTGCAGAGGACACGCTTGCACGCGTGCGCGCACACACACGCACACAGATAGAGAGATAAGGGCAAAAGCAGCAATGGGCATCCACACCTTCCACCCATAATCCCCTTGCGTGTCTGGCCACCAGGGCCTATAGCTGGCGGGTGAGATCACTCTGGCCTTGCCTGCTACAAGGCCAAGCAGGACAGCCTCAAGCCTTCTGAGCAGATTCAGGGGGCAGAGTGACCTCCAGTGGCCACTGGGAGCACTGCATGTTTCCACTGGAATTTCTTAGCTCGGCACCCAGACTGTGAAGTCTCTCAAGAGAAAGGACTCAAGAGCAGATCAAGTTTCCTAATCTCAGAAACTCATCAACAAGGTGTTAGCTGGGCGGTGGTGGCGCACGCCTTTAGTCCCAGCACTGGGGGGAGAGGCAGGCGGATCTCTGTGAGTGGGAGGCCAGCCTGCTCTGCAGAGTGAGTTCCAGGACAGCCGGGCCACACAGAAAATAAACAAATAAACAAAAGGAAAGAGGAGTTAGGGTAGCACATAGTCCCACTGGAAAGGGGCGACTGAACAAGGGCACGCAGGCCGCTAGAGCAAAGTCAGCACTCTGTTTTCTACCGCGAATCAATTTACTCTGCTCTGATATCACTGTCACCGCATTGACGTCTTGGGCCGTGGCTCCTGCACACATGAGTGCCGGGCCCCAGCAAGCATCAAGCAGACTTGGAAGCCTCGTCAGGACCCGGGGTTTGGGCACCTCCTTCCTGGTCCTGAAGTCTGGGCCTCTTCAGGTCGGGAGGCTCCTCCTGGGGCTTTCCAGGCGTCACTGAAACATTAACAGACGGGCGTCAGGTTAGCAAGCAGTGAGGGTGAGCCCCAGAACCGCCACAAGGAACAGATCTATCTACAGCGGGGTTCTCGGCCAAGGTGACTGCATGTCAAGAGACAGCCCATGCCTGTGACAGGGTAAGAGGTGGCATAAGGTTGGGGTTGGACAGGTGGCTCAGCGGTTAGGAGCACTGGCTGTTCTTACAGTACCCAGGTTCAGTTCCCAGCACCCACAGGGCAGCACACAACTGTCTGTAACTCCAGTTCCAGGGGATCTGACATCACACAGACATACAGGTAGGCAAGACATCAACGCACATAGAAATGTCTTAAGAAGTGACATCGGGGATGTCATTAAGCCCCACACACCAGCCGCCACAAAGCGGAGAGAGCCATCCCCCAGGAGTGGCTAGCGTCTAGGGCATGGGTCACTTTACTCCTGGGGAGACAAACAGCCACCAGTACATCCCGAGAATGGTTCCGACAAGACTCTGGCCTTCTCAGAACTGACGTAAAGTCAGGTGTTAGCTTCCAAAAGAAGGCATCATATCTGACATAATCCACCAAAACCCTCTTACCTGGTTCAATCTCTTCAGTGGAGGAGGTGGCGGTGCCGCCGGTGGGCAGTGGATTTGGCGCAGTGTCTGCCTTTAATGGTGTTAAGTTTATTCTCCTTGATTAAAAACAGTAAAAGGGTAGACTTTTTCTTAGTGTCAAAGGAGCCAAAGGAAACACACAGCTTTTCCCACTGAGCAGACCCAGAGGGAAACCCAGGCTGGCACCTCCTGGTGCAGAAGGATACGGGCAGCGGCTGTTTGCAGGAGATGCTGGCATGATTGCATGCTAGCAGACGGCATGGCCAGGGCATCCCCTGGGAGGCCCCAGTCTGCCGGTGCCCCACAGCCAGGCAGCTCAGGAAGATTGGCACACAGCAGCGCTACTCAGCCGAGGAAGAGGGAGTCATTCCATTTGTGTAAAGTGGATGAGCCCGGAGGACACTGAGTGCCAGCACACGGCCTCCCCCAGGGGAGGGATCAGAAGGGTTGCTCTCGTGGATTTTTCTTGGGGGTGGAGATGGGAAACTTGAGGCAGGGTCTTATATGTACTTAAGCTGGTCTGGGATTTATTATGATGCCCCAAACTCAGAGCCCTTCTGTCTGCCTCAGCCTCCCAGGGGCCTGGAGCTGTGTGCCATCACGTCACCTGGGTTGATCCGGTATAGATGGAAACCTAGCCGTACATAAACTAGATGACCCCAGCTCTCAGGAGGACAGGACGGGAAGACTGCAGAAAGTTCCAGGCTAGTTTTGGCTCCATGAGACCCTGTTTCCATTTTAAATAAATAAGTAACTATAGCTCAGTGTTGACAAAGGAATGAGCCTGCAATGCCGTGGACAGCCTCCTGCAAAAGCCCAAGCAGACGGTTGCTGGCTTTGGTGTTATGGGAGGGAGGGCACTGTCAGTCACTGAGGGTGCCCTTGGGGGGGATGCGATAAGGGGACACTGGGTCCTTCCTCCCCATGCTACCATCCCGGCCTCTGTGAGGTTAGCGGCCTCCTTTCCCATACACGCCTACCACCCTGTACCGCACAGGCCCAGATCAAAGAGGCAGGTAACTGTGGACTGCCGCCACGGAACCCCAGAGCCAAACCAGGCTTCCTGCCTGTTCGGCTGATTGTTTCATGCAGTTCAGTCAGTGCGGGGAGTTCGGTGATTCTGCACTCCCTCGATTCCTTACCGGACAGGGGGTGCCTGGTGCCACTGAGCAGACCTGAGTGGAACAGGGCACCTCCTGCCCTTGTAAGCTTATAACGTAAGAGGAAACAAACCCCTGCCAGAGAACACGACTGGGGTCAGGGGTCACAAGGCCAGGACAGAGGACAGACATAGTCAAGTGGGTCTCAGCAAGATTCTAGCTTCATCCCGGGTTTCTCCAGGAAGCAGGCAGGGAGACCTCAGAGGGCAGAGCTCGCTCTGGAAACACGGTGGCAGAGGCAGGGGACAAGGCCCGGGAGACTTAGAGGAAAAGACCCAGGACTGGACGGCAGGCCGCCCAGCACACGTCACAGGTGGGACTCTGGGCAGAGGCCAGGCTTCACCCCTGGCTAGGAAATACAGGTCTGGAAAGGGAGGCGGCAGCTTCAGAATTTGCCCACTGCACAACGACACTTGCTTGTTTTGTCAAGTGCTCTTACCGGGGAGTCGTCTTGCTCCAGGACTGCAGCGTGTTCAGGGTGACCCTCCGGGGTTGGGGGGCTTTGGTGTTCTGACTAGCAGGCTGCAGGGTCTTCTCCTCAGGAGGCCGTGGCAAGGAGCTCTTGCCAGCAGGAGTGGCCGAGGGGCTGTCCCTGGCGGCGGGCGGGGCTGGAGACTGTGTCGTTGGTGAGGGGGTGGCACAGGGACTGCTGGGGTCTTGCGGTCTGCAGGTGGGGGTCCCCTCGGCTGATCGGGGCCCTGGAGAAGACCCCTGCTGTGCCTGGCTCTTGCTTTTCTTTGCTGTGTCAGGAGTTCTTATGTTCAAAACTGGCTTCTCTTTCAACACTGCGCCAAGTTCACCCTTCTCAAAGGTCACAAAGGAGCAATACCCATCCGTGGAGGAGATGGCCAGGAAGGTCCCGTCACTGGACCTGTGTCCCCAACAAGGAAGAAGTCAGTTATTGGCATCTACAAGTCATACTCACACTCCCATGACCAGGCAGCTGGAGCCGATCACAAGCTGTGTTTGAAGGCAGTGGTCAGGACAACGGCAGAACAGACGGCTTCAACAAGCTCTGCAAGCACGTAGTGTCCTTTCCCAACCCCATCTCAGTCTCCGGAACCACCTCGGACCTATGTGCCCTCCTATCAACTTCGCCTGGATAAAAGTGAGGAGGTCTCGACTTTTCCTAACGTGAAGAATAAAGTCAGGTCCAGCGAGGTGGCTCAGGCAGCAAAGGCGCTTGCTCTTCAAGCCCGAGGACCGAGCTCAATTCCTGGGAGCTATGTGAGGTGACAGAAGAGAGCCAACTCTACAAGGGTGCCCTCTGACCTCCACGTGAGCCGTGGCACACACACCCCTACACACTACATACAAAATATATGAAGAAATTTAGAGGGAAGCAAGGGTCCCACAGAGAGAGTAGAGCCCTTGCCTAGTGTGTTTGAGGCCCTGGGTTCGGTACCAAGCATGAACCGGGCTTGTGGGTAGACACACGTGGACGGGGGAGCTGGGGGATCAGGATTTCAAGGTCATCCTCAGGCACAGAGCAGGGCTGAGGCGCTGGGGGGGGGGAGGGGCAAGAAACGAGACTGAGGGGCCTGCCTCGCTATCGTACAGGGAGAGCCCTTGGCGATGGCGTCTTCAGGCACCCGAGGCATCGAGTAAGGACAGTGAGTGACAAGTGGTACTGGCAGGTGAGGTCTCTGACCAACGAGTCCCCAGGGTTCCCCCTCAGCTTCCTGGAACCTGACTGACCTCACAGGGCTGTGTGCATGGCGGCAGAGCTCACTGCTGGGCAGGGAGACGGCTCATCAGGCCAGAGCGTTTCTGTGCATGTGCGAGCCTGATGAGCTGAGTTCAGATCCCTAGAACCCACGTGGAAGGAGAGAACAGCCTCCTGCAAGCAAGCTGTCCTCTGATGTTCACATGCACGTACTCCCCGTCTGGGGAATCGAGGGCCACTACCTCGCTCCCATCCTGTGCCTGTTAGCTACTCACCAGGAGATGTCACTCAGGGTATGGTAATGGATGTTAGACACATAACCAAATGGGAAAGGCTGCTGCGTGTCATACAGCATCACAGAGTCCTCGGAGGCCACGGCAAACACCATACGGTAGGGCAGGCTCACCGGCTCGGGGCTCGGCTCCTCTGATGCCCCGTCTGTAGGGAGAGGACAAGCTGAATGAAGCCACAGAAACCCAGTTCCCAAGGGAGAGAGCCAGCCCTCCCTCCCCCAGCTCTGGGAGGATATCTACCGTGTCAGCGAAAGCTAGTTTACTATAAGCTGCACAGAAGAGCTTAGTTCCTGGGCTGGCAAGATGGACCAATGGGTAATGGCAGGCTTGACAATGTGAGTTCGATCCCCAGGACCCTAACATCCTGTCACAAAAAGCCAAATAACAACAAAAGGCCCAGTGGGGAAATAAAATGAAACTAATTAGTACTAATGTACTCTTTGTTGTTGTTTGAGACAGGGTTTCTCTGTGTAGTTTTGGAGCCTGTCCTGGAACTCACTCTGTAGCCCAGGCTGGCCTCGAACTCGCAAAGATCTATCTGCCTCTGCCTCTGCCTCCTGAGTGCTGGGACTAAAGGCGCGGTCCACCACTGCCCCGATAGTACTAATGTATTCTTAACGTTGCTGTAGATGAGAAATCGTATTCTGGACAATGAAAAGAAAGACACACTTTGCATTACGGGACACTACAAAGGAATATGGGTCTGTCCAAAAGGCTATGATGGGACGGACTCTTGATGTCTTCACAGCAAACGTAAATGATGAAGAGAAGAGACACATCCTGATTTAAACATCCCATTATACGCACACTGAAGCATCATAGGATGCCCCCCAGAAAGACATCATTTTTACATGTAAAATGAACAAAATTAAAAATGTGAGCCCAATCCGCACAGCTTTCTCCACAAGACAGCCACCAAGTCCCCACTCCAGGGAGAAAGCACCCACACCCACACGCTGTGGTTCTGACGGTACCTGTTTCTGCCACTGGCCTCAATTCGAAGTAGACGGGACAGCAGCGGACAGCGAGAGTCGCTTTCCCAGGGCACGGAAGGTGGGCGATTGGCCTGCAAGGTGGACCACAGGTTAGCAACAGGTACTGCTGCTCGGCCAGGGCAAAACTGAGACATGTCTTCAGCTGCGTACCTTTTCAGGTGTTTTCTGGAGAACACATACGTTGTATTTGTTACATTTTCACCAGATTCCACACATCCAGCTGGGGAGCAGGGAGGGGGGGGGGGAGATTCACGGTTACACTGTTTCCCAGCAAAAAATCCCAAGCCTTCCCAGTCTGGCTTGCAAAATATTCTTCCCCTCCCATGGTTAAACTGATGATGCTTCTGTGACAGAGATAAACACAAATGTCCCCGATGACTGGTCTCACCCTGCTCCAGCTCTACCTGCCCTCACCCCCACCCGAGGGCCCCCGGCCTCTGGATGCCCACCCAGGGCAGGAAGGATGCGGACCCAAGAGAGTTGGCGACTGGTGAAACCCTGTGCTTGAGAGCAGAGGCAGAAGCAGCCGATGGGGCCCTGTGGCCAGTTCTGCCTGAGAGCCCCCAAGCCTGTTCCCAGCATTCAGACCTTGGCTGTCTGTCTCTTAAACTCGCCATGGGGTTGTCTGGAGACCTAGCCCACGATGCACCCTGCAGCTTCCTGCAGAACCTGACTGTCACATGGTATAAAACACATACACGTGCCATCTGACAGGGAAGGACATTACTCTCGCTTTTATGCATAGCTATTCCCTGCCCACCTCTCACCACGACCCCGCTATGACAAACCAATGCTGGTCCGTCTCCCTGGGCACAGATAACCATTCATCACACACTCCCGCAGGTGGTCTTTCCAAGGCATTTGTTGTTAAGAAACAGAGACCCACACTTCTGTCCCTGAGTCAGCACACAGGGCACTAAAGCCTCTTCTGGTCATGTCACAATATTTACTAGTAGGAAACTAATGTCCTCTGTTGAGAGCTACTGACTTGGGGGCTTTGGACTTTTTGGTTTTTGGTGGGGAGGGTTGGTTGTTTTTATTTGCTTGATGTTGATGCATCCTGGGCTTCTCTCAAACTCACTATGCAACCAAGGATGACCTTGAGTTCCTGGGTCTCCCACCTCCGCCTTCCAACACCCAAGTGCCACCACACACAGCTTAGAAATTCCTATGCATTTCCTTGCTAAGGAATTGTCTTAGACTGAAGACACAGGGATTGGATGGCGTTAACTGTTACCAGGCTGCATTCAAAATACACTAACATGCTGCGCAGGACCCACATCCTGCCCAGCAGTAATGGCAACTGTTACTGCTTTTCAATCTGAAGAGAATAGCAACATCTAAATGTCACCACTGTACAATTCTGCATTTGCTGTTCCTGGGCATGAGAATCTGTTCTTGGATGCAATCTGTACCCTTCCTTCATTACTCTGTTTATGGTGCGAAGGGTTGATCTCAGAGCCTCACACCTTAGGCAAGCACTTGACCAATGAGTTATATCCAGTTCTTTAGAGTTTTCTTCTTTAGTATTTTGTTTTCTTGCCAATTGAGAGGGCCACTGTATAGGATACATTGTATCAAAAGCACCAGATGCCACTTCATCGTGTGTCCACTGACACGGCCTGGCCCTGCCCTACCTTTACTGTATGGAAGTTATGCATTCAGAGTCAGAGTCAGGCTGGTCCATGCACACCTATAACCCCAGCAATCAGGGAACAGAGATGGGAGAACTGGAAATTCAAGATCATTCTCAGCTACATAACAAGGGCTAACCTGAGCTACACAAAACCAAGACACAGAGCAAAACAAAACAAGTTCTGGGCTCAGTTGGTAGAATGCTTGCTTAATATGCTTGAGGTCCTGGGTTCAAGTCCCAGCACTGTTTAATCAGGTGTTAGTGCATGCCTGTCACCCCAGCACCTGGAAGTAAAGAAAGGAAGGTGGAGTTCTATGACGGGAGACGTCACTCTGTAAATATGTTTCTCTTATTGGTTGATGAATAAAACACTATGGCCGATAGGACAGCAAGACAGGCAGGACTAGGAGATGAGAAGAATTCTGGGAGGTGTAAGCAGGCTGCAGTAGCCATGCAGGACTCCAGAAGAAAAACAGGTCTCCCTTAGATTAATAGAAATGGGTTAGTAGTTAAGACAGAGATAGCCAATAATAAGCCCTATCAATGGCCAACAGTTTCATTTGGGGCTGATGTGGTTGTGGAACCAGGCTGGCCAGAAAGAGTGCTCTTAACAGTTCTAGGCCATCCCCAGATACATAGTGAATTCCAGGTCTGCCTGGGGTGAGTGAAACAAACAGACAAACAGACAAACAAACAAACATTAGGACAGATGGATGAAAATGTGTAAGCACTAAGACTCTTCTAAGTAAAATCCATCTTAGAGAAAATACCGCTCCAAGTCTTTCAGTTCCCTAACTTTTGTGACCCTCAAAACCATCACGTTATCCAAGAGCCAAGGCGACCGTGTCCGAGGTTCCAGTGTGCAGACACTTGCCAGAGCTGGGACGTGTCATAAGTGGGCATACAGACGTCCCTCTGTTGCTACCACACCCCTGTCACCTGTTGTCACACACACCTGGAGTGAGAAGCAAAGATCCATCTGGAGTAAAACTGAGTCTACGGAAGAATGACTTCATGCTGTCATCGTGAAACATCCGGAAACTTCTTGCCTGTGTAGACAGCGCTTGAAGTCATTCCAAAACATCTCATTCTCCATAAGGGCTCACCACTTAGACCTGGCCAGGAATAATTACTCAGGAAGACAGAATTAAATCTTTTATAATACCTGGTCAGCCAATAAGGCAGTCTGAGGGGAAGCCTCATTAGTTGGTTGGTGAACTTAGGGCTCTGCAGGGGTTAGGAGTCCCCCGGCCTCAAATGGGAATGGCAAAATATTTCATGCTGGGCTGGCAAAATGGCTAAGGGGGTAAACGACACTTGTTGCCAGGCCTCTTGACTTGAATTCTGTTCCACACAGTGGCCTGAGAGAATGGACTTGTGACCTTCATAGGCACACTGTGACGCGTCTGCACGCAGGTGAGATGATAATAAAAGGTACTTCCTACCTCTCCTTCAGACCCTGACCCAGACAGCATCTTAGAAATGTTGAAAGCCACACGCTTCTTCTGAGTGCTATAGACCCGCAGCACCCTGGAGAAAGAGAAGTCTGAATACCACCGCAGGAACCAGATTTCACACAGTGACGGCCTGTCTGTGCACGCCACCCAGCCTCAGAAACTGTTATGGACCAGTAGAGTCCACTGAGGAATTCGGAAGGAAGCCCCTAAGTATGCCACAGTGGGAAAACGCGAAGCAGAGTCACGTCCCTTCCGTATCCCTCACTGAATAAAATAATTCTGCTCCTCACACGAGGAAGGTGCAGTTCTAATTCTGAGCCGTGATGTTTGGCCTAATGGCAACACTGTGACTACAGTGAAATTTATTTTGTGTGGACGATCCTGTTTGCAGAGCTTTCTAGAGTAAGGAATGTGAGTAACTCACACCTGCAATTCCTGCACGTGGAAGGTGAGGCAGGAGGATCACCATGAGCTTAAAGCCAGCCTTGGTTATAGAGTAAGACATCGGGAGGCCCAGGCAGGAGGATGGGCAAGGCGTGCGCCCTTCACCCCCTAAAAGGGCGGGGATGGGAACACCGGCGACTGACTCTTGCTCCCGAGTCACTGTTCCCGCTAATCGAACTGTTCTCTCGTTTGCTTCAGTGAGACACAGGGAAGTGCATGGCAACCAGCACAGGGTTGTCTACAATACACAAACCCTAACTCTACACACTGCTCTCATTCAATTTCAGGGCCATATCAAGTTCAACTTTTAAATTAAAAGCAGCTGAGGACTGGGGAATGTAGCTCCATTGTCTGAGTTTTTGCCCAGCATTCATTCCATCCCCAGGACTGCATAATCCAGGGCATGGTGGATCCACCAGAAATCCTAGTACTCTGGAGGTAGAGGCAAGAAGATGTGAAGTTCAAAGACAGCCTAGGCTACATGAAACATTGTCTCAAAAAAACCCAATAATGGAAACATTGTTTCAAAATAACCAATAATGGAAACATTGTCTCAAAAACAATAACGGGCTGGAGAGATTGCCAGTGGTTAAGAGCCCTGGCTGCTCTTGCAGAGGAACTGGGATTCAATTTCCACAACCACATGGTGGCTATCTGTTAACTCCAGTTTCCGAAGACTGACACCTGTCTTCTGACTACAGCAGTAAACTATGATCAGAAGTGAAGTGTGAGGTGTTGGCCTAGCACCAACCAAGATTGTGTGTTCGATCCCCCGCACTGTAAAAAAATGAAATGAACACCTCAATCCACCCACTACCTTTATTAGTTTGTCTCCTTGAAATCAAGTGTGATTCAGTTTGACATTAAAAAGCTCTTTCTAACAGGGCAGAGAGATGGCTCACTGTCTAGGAGCATGTGTTGCTCTTGTAGAGGACCCCAGTTTGTTCCCAGCACCGACAGCTCACACTGTTTGTTAACTCGGTTTCAGGGGAATCCAATGACCTCTTCTGGCCTCCGAGAACACCAGGTACACACATGGTGCGTGGACACAAACGCAGGCACACATACAAGCTCGGCACACACATGGTGCAGGGACACACATGCAGGCACACATACAAGCTCTGCATACACACATGGTACATGAACACACACAGGCACACACACACATGGTACATGGACACACACACAAGCAAACACACAAGCTTGGCACACACATGGCGCAGGGACACACACGCAGGCAAACACACAAGCTCTTTCTACATTAGTTCACCCATCCAATACGATTCACTGACGTCAGCTCTGCGTGAGGCAACTGGTCTAATTAATTGGTCTCTAATTCCTGTCTTGTCGGAATAAGGAAAACAAGAATGAAAGAACCCAAACCGAGCTGTCAATCCCCAGTTACTTACATACCTGTCGCAACTCAGGGTCGCAACATATTGACCCAAAGGGTCCCAGGCAACTCCTTGTACGTAACTTTTATGTTCGTTGAAAATGGAAATCTTCTGTCCTACAAAGACGCACGCAAGAGCATTATCAACACTACAAAGAAGCATGAACTAAGGCTCCTACACTATTGCGGAGTTCCCGCCCAGTGTTCCAAAGTGTGTCAGACTCAAGGGACACAAAGATCACTCCACACCCCGTCCTCCAATCACACACAGCGCTCAGACAGAGTAAGGGAACCTGGCATCCACAGCAAGCTCCAGGCTCTGTGGGTCAGAGACCTGAGGTTAGTTCTCGGGGAGAGAACCCCTCACCCTGTCACGGCTGAGCTCAGCACGGGGCTCGTGGGCACTGCGGAGAACTGGTAATGGGAAGCCAGGAGCCAGGAACAAGATGAGAAGGAGCCACAGTACAGTTAAGAGAACTTTGTAGTGAAGAACAAGCCGCAAGACTGATCGCTGGGAAGCGTTCTGGGTTTCAGAGAGGAAGCTGAAGCCGGGTGTGGTAGAGCGCACCTGTGACCACTTGGGAGGTGAGGGCAGGAGGGAGCCGGGGCCAGGGCTAGCCTTGGTTTACAAAGGGAGACCCTGTCTCAAAAAACTCAAACCAATAAACTGAGGTTGAGGACCTATGACAGAAAGTCACTAGTGAGGTCACAGGCACAGAAGGGCGGAGGGGCTGGCGCTGGAGAGGCTAATGTGGCATTCAATGGGTGAGTCAGAGGTACCGAGCTTTCCTGGGTTAAAGGAAAACAGTTTTCAAGCTGCAACTACGGACGAGCCCCAAACTCACCGCACTCACAGCAGTGCACTACACTCAAGCTGCACGACATTCAGTAATTCAAGTTACCATCCAAAGGCTTTAACCGTGTGAAAGCAGACAAAGAAGCTGGCCCCAGGCCCTGGGTCTGATCCATGGGAGGGGTGGGAGAGACCCTCCTCCAAGGGGGTGGTCAACCCCCATCTCTCACCCCTTCCCCCCCTCACCCACCCCACCGCCACGCAGCTTCCGCAGCCACCACCCGCCCGCACTGCTAATCCAGGGCCCGGGACATGCTGCAGCTTAATTCATACAACAGGCTGGCTTCGAACTCAGAGATCCGCCTGCCTCTGCCCCCCAAGTGCTGGGATTAAAGGTGCGTGCCACCACGTACGGCTTTGAAGGACTTTCTTGGTGGCATCTTGGTGATGGTGGTCCAAGGAGGTTTGGGGATGGCAGCCCAGGGGATGTACACCACCCCACCCCTACCCCCCCCAGGCTGCTTCAGCCTGGTTCTAAGGTGCTGTCCTCCCTTACTCCATCAGAGAGCGTCTCTCATCTTGAAAGCCTTTCCAGGAAGTGGGCTGGGCATTAAGGCAGCTGGGGACTGAGAGGGACACTGAGGGGGCCTGTGTGGACCTCAGTAAGCCAGCGGGAGCATGAGGACGGGCCTGGCGAGTGCACAGGTTTGAGCAACAGGCCCGAGGCCAGGACTGGGAAACTTAAAGGTGGGATGCAACACGGACCCCGGCTGCGGTTTGTCTCCAAGGGCGAAAAGTGGTCAAAGGGGCAGACTCTGATGGTTTAAGAGCACACGGGAGGCATGCCAGACAGAACGACAGGCCAGGGGAACACGCCCCACAGCTCATGTATTTGAATGTTTGGTGGAGCTGTCTGGGAAGGACAGGAGGTGTGGCCTTGTTGGAGAAGGCTTGCCACTGGGGACGGGCTTTGACGTTTTCAAAGCCTGCGCCCTTTCCAGTTAGCTGGCTCTCCCTCTCTGCTTCATGGTTGTGGAATAAGATGTAGGCTCTCCAGTGTGGCTCCTGCCCGCCCGCCCGCCCACCATGATGGACATGGACCAAGTTAAACTTTCTTTTATGAGTCGCCTTGGTCGTGTTGTCTTATCACGGCAACAGAACAGGCCTTGATTTCAGCCTCTATCAAAACTGCTCCCGCTCAGCATCCCTACCCTTACACTTGGTGTGGAGCTCAGTAGGTCACAGCACTTACTGCTGTTTCACGGGACCCAAGTTTGGTGGTCCCTAGTGCCCAACTGGGAGCCTTACAGCAGCCTGTAACTCCAGTTCCAGGGGATCAGGCAACCTAGTCCAGACTCCATGATGCTACAGGCATGTGCACATACACATACGTGTATACATAAGTACATACATATGTATTCTAATTCTAATAAAACAAGTATGTCGCTCACCTTTGCTGACATCCCATATGATAACTGTGTTATCCACAGAGGCGGAGGCCATCAGAGTCCCATCATTTGCCCAGCAAATATCACACACATCTTCTAAGTGGCCCCTAGAGCCCAAAGACAGAAGAGATAATGTTATTACTGCAAAAGAGAGACGCTATCAAAAAGTCCATAGTCCGGGGCCATGCACTGAAATGAGGTGCTAGAAATTCTCAGGGGATCTGTGTGGGCCTAGCTACAAACAGTGTTTCCAAGGTTGTCTGGATCTAAAATAAATCAAAGGGCCTTGCAGGTCCACGTGGATAATCCCAGCACTGGGACCCTGGGCAACAGGACAGAATTCAAGGCTAGCCTGGGCTATACAGCTAGGCTGCCCGGCTTAAAAATGATTCTTTTAAAATGATTCTCTTTTTTTTTTTTTTAAACCAAGGAAAATTTCATAATAGAAAGAAAAATCCATTTCCATCTTTTTTTTTTTTTTTTTTAATCTATTATTATCTTAAGAAGCAGGCAAAAGTTTCAAGTTAGCCACACGAACTGTTTTGTTTTGTTTTCCAAGACAGGGTTTCTCTGTGTAGCCTTGGTCGTCCTAAAACTCACTCTGTAGGAGGACAGGCTGCCCTTGAACTCAGAGATCCTCTGCCTGCCTCTGCCTAACGGTGTGAGCCACCATCGCCACGCAGGTACGTGGACTGAAGTATTTGGAGTGTAAAGCAGAGTCGCTCAGCCGGAACTTCAGCAATCTTGATGCTCTTCCAGAGAGCTCAGCCGGCTCTCAGCACCGACTGCACCACAGTACGCCCTGTACCTCCAGCTCCAAGGGGTCCGCCGCCTCCTCTGACCGCAGGTGCCCGCACACACAATCAGTCCCCACGGCCCCTCCTCCTTACCTCAGGGTTTTCACCACGGTCCAGTTCTCCTTATTCAGCTGGGCCTCGTCCTCATCCTGAAAGGCGACTGGCTCTGGTTCCTTGTTATCATTCATCTTCCACAAGAGAACAACGGCATCTGTGGAACGAATCAGCCAGCATGGACAAGGTCTTCCCATGCCTCCTTCACCTCTCGAGTTTTAGGATGTTTTGTCAGCTTCATGTTACTCAATGGACACTCTAGCCACGAAGATCTTTCACTTCTAAGAATATGCACGACGGTATGGGACTGTAATTCAGCCTTGGGGAGTCTACACCAGGAGGACCAGACATTCAAGGCTAGCCTGGGCTACGTGGTAAGTTTAAAGCTAGCCTGGGCTACATGAGTCCCTATTGTAGAAAAACACAAAGACTTTGAAAAGGGCAAGTAAATTTGCCCTTCACTGAAACAAAACAAAAAATGAAACCAGTTCATGATAGACCCGGTGTAGGATCATCACATATTCGGGCTTCCTGGGCCAGCCTGTGAGTTTAATGCTGCGCCCTCCATCTTCACACTCTGATACACTCCAAAAATGTGAATTAAAGGTTTGAAAGGCACACAGGGAAGGCCAATGACATCCGAAATGGAAGACACAACCAGCTCAGACCTCATTAACTTTCTTTCCTTGACAGAAGCTTGCTATTATTTAAGCCGGGCGTTGGTGGCGCACGCCTTTAATCCCAGCACTCGGGAGGCAGAGGCAGGTGGATCTCTGTGAGTTCAAGGTCAGCCCCCCCAACCCCAAAAAAGAACCTTGGTATTTATCCCAGGTGACCTTCAATTTTCGGTTGCCCTGTTTCAGCCTCCAAGGTGCTGTGGTTGCAGGCCCATGTCACTCCCCAGCTCAAATGTCACTAAGTGTCAGATTGCGGAACAATACTCACCGTCGCCTCCAGATGCTAAGATCTCCCCAGATGGAGAAAAACGCACAACATTGACAGCTTTGGTGTGCCGAGCAAGATTGGAGAGAAATTCCACCACGGCTTTCCCATCTGGCCCCCTCTCCACCTTCCAGATCTGCTGACAGCAAAACATTCACTAGAGAAAGACACTAGCCACCCCCATCCCTCTCATTAGGCAGATATCTGTTTTCTGGAATAAGTGCCATTTTCTTTTTGAAACGTTGCAAACTGAAGGAATTCTTAGCAAAAGTGTAAACCAGCAGTCCCAGGACCTTAAGGCTCCCCTTTCCGTTCTTTCTAGAGCACAGGAACTGGCCTCTCGCCTAGCCCTGCCTGACCTCAGACTCACTATCTCGGAGGATAACCTCCAACTTCGTCCTGTACCTCACATGCAGGAGTGCGTGCCGGCAGCAGAGTTCTCAGCATTCTCAGATGCTGGCAACCCACTTGTAACAAAGTGGAGAACGTTAATCCAGAGAGCCCATCTCTGCAGCATTCCTTGCTTTTACCCCAGGCCTGAGAATTTAGCATTCTGGGCAAAACGACTTGCGGCGCCGGCTTCGGTTCCAAATAAAGAAATGAGTCCTCGGATGAATCCTTGGACTCCACATAGCACAAGCCTGTGTCCTCCCTCCCTCCTGCCCGCTTACCCTGACGGCGGTGTCCACCCCGGCGGACGCCAGCCTGTGGATCTTGCAGGCTGCCGCGTGCTGGAAGTCCAGGCTGTACACTGGCTCCTTGTTGTGCCAGGCGATTTCACACGTGATCACCTTCATCCTCCCGAGTCTCCGCCGGGCACGGGGAGGGCTGGAAACGGGACAGCACGGGCGAACCAGGTAAACGGCCCTGCAGCGCAAGCTGCGAGCGGCGCGGACGTCATCTGCACGCTGCAGGCAGCTAAGCGGCTCGCACAGGCAGCGGCTCCCACTGGTTCACCTCCCCGGAAGAGTCAGGAACCAAACACCCGAGAGGGAGGCGGCGCGGGGACCGGGGCCCGGGCCGGGGCCGGCGGGGAGGGGCGCGGGCTCGGGCCTGCCTGGCGGGAGGCGCGCGGGTCCGGGTCCCGCTTGGCACCGCGGCCTGGGGCGGACCGGCCTCCGCCTGAGCCCGCCCCGCGGCCCCCGGCGAGCATCTGCCGCCCGACCCGGTCCAGAGGCCACGGAGACCCGGGAGCCGCCAGGAACCTACCTGCAGGGACGCCGTCCGCCAGGAGCCGCCCGCGCCCGCGGATTCCCGCGCGCCGGAGACCACGCCCCTCCCCGGAGGGCGGAGACAGCCTCGCCCCTCCCCCGAGTGGGCGGGGCCGTCCCCGGCAAAGGCTCTGGCTGGGCGGGGGTCCTAGCGCGCCCCTCCTCCTCGTGGGCGGAGCTGTCGTGACACCGCGGCTTCCGGTGGGCGGGGCGCCGGACGCCCCTCCCTCCCGTGGGCGGGGCCGTCGAGGCCCCACCCCCCGGCTCCTGCTGGCGCCCCCGGAATTCCGTCCCCGCCTCCGGAGCTCCCTTGCGGCGCTAGCCCCACAGTTCCGCGGTGTTTTTCCGGCGGTGGGCGCCGCCTGCTCAGCTCAGCCGAGCCGGGTGGAAGAAACGCGGGGCTACAGACGCGGCCCCGCCTACCGTGCAGGGTGGCATCACCAACCAGATCCTGACTGTTACCCCTGCAATCGGGGGACTCTAAACTCAAGGTTATCCTCAGCTACACTGAGGGCTCCGGGCCAGCCTGAACGACTTAAAACCATAAACAAAAACAAAGTAAAACACGTATTATAGCATAGATGGGAAACTGGGACTCATCCAATATTTCCAAATAGCATCCACCCACGTACAGAGTATTTGAAAGCTGTCACTCCACACCAAAGATCCCAGAATGGCCTCTGGAGTTTTACAAGTCAGTAAAATAAATAGGAAGTGTTTCCTGCCCTCTCCTAGCGAGTGAGCCTGGCATAGTTGCCATGATATTAATCTCTGCACTCAAGAGGCAAGATGAAGATGAGAAGTTCAACGCCATCCTTCACTACATTGCCAAGTTTGAGACCAGCCTGGACTATATGAATGTGTGTAGAAAATCAAGTTATAAGTCCCATTCCAATTATTTAATGGGTGATTTACCCTCCATGACCCTTCTCAATAATTTCACGTTTTTAAATAGCAAGAATCTTGTCTCCTATGGTCTTGACTCCTTCTAAGACAGCATATGAAAAAAAATACATTTTTATAAAGAATTAAGTTCATAGCTGGAGAGGGGACTCGGCAGGTAATCTTTGTAACATTTTTGACCATTGGTATTTTGCCTGCACTTATGTTTGTGTGAGGGTGTCAGAAGCCCTGGAACCAGTTACCGAAGGAGACAGGTGTGAGCTGCTATGTGGGTACTGGGATTTGAACCCAGGTCTTCTGAAGAGTAGCCAGTGCTGACCCACTGACCCATCCATCTCTCCAGTCCTTGCAGGTCCATCTTCGAAGCACTTGCTGCTTTGACAGAGGTCCAGGGTTCAGTTCTCAACACCCACATGGTGGCTCACAACCACCTGTAATTCCAGTTCCAGGAAATCCACCACCCTCCTCTGACCTCTAAGGGCACCAGAAATATGTATGGTACACACATCATACAAGCAAAACTCATACACAAAAAATTTAGAAATCTAAAAAAAAAATTAAAAATCATAATTAACCTCAGAATAATATTTACATTTTCAGGGGTGTTTGTTTTGTTTTTGGAGATCATCTCTCTCATATTCCCACACACTATCCTCCTGCCTCTACCTCCAGAGTGCTGGGATTACAGGCGTGCGCCACATGTCCTGGCTGGTTTATTTTGGGAATTGAGCCCAGGACCTGGTGCTTGCAACCTGGAGCTGAACTACACCCCAGCCCAAAGTTATACCTTTAACACTAGAAATACAGAATACATTTTACAACGAAGAAAAATGCACAAGACAGAAAGGCCCAGCAGTAAAATCCCAACTATCCATTGTTTTTGGTTTGTTAGGTTTGTGTAGCCCTAGCTGTCCTGGATCTCTCTCTGTAGACCAGGCTGGACTTGAACTCACGGAGATCCGCCTGCCTCTGCCTATTGAGTGCTGGGCCACCACTGCCCGGTATCCAACTATCCATTCTTGATGCTGTATGTGGAAACTTTGTGACATAAAGTTACATCATCTTAATCTAATTATTCAAACCACCGAAATACTTCTCGGTGTCATTTAACCCGAGAATTCGTTTAGCAGCATCAGTAAATCCAAGCCATTTTTATGCAGTTTTTGACACGAGACACATGGCTTCCTGGTTTGCACTTGAGGAATATATTCTTAGAGTTGTCTAAAGGTTCCACTTTGTTATCAGGAACCCAGGACTCTGAAAATCCAAAGCGTTCATCAATTTTTGAGTCTTCCTGGAAAAGTGGTTTCTTAGCTGCCAGTTCTGCAAATATACCTGTGCTCCAAAAATTCTTTGGTGTCAATTTGCCTGAGAATTCATCTAACAGCATCCATAAATCCAAGCCAATTTTTGATCATATTGAATCTCCATCAATGTTGATGGCATGCATAGCTTTTCTTCTCCTGTGGGAACAAAAGCAGAACCCCTTCCCCAACATAATGCATCTTGAACAGGCCTGGAAAGGTCAAGTGTAAACGTCAAAGCACCTGAGACCATGGGGTGGTGGCACAGAGGGGATCTGAAGTCCATCGGAACCACACAGGGACACACGCCACACTTCTGCTCTGCTCAGTCTCCACTTTGCCTCCTTCTGCAGCCTTAGCTGACTAAAGCAGCTTCTGTTTGCGAAAGTCTATTGCTGCGGCCAGCTCCCTCAGTTTGTGTGTTAAACTGCACATCGGACAGGAAGATGCTTCATCTGGTTCCACACACGTGAGGCCATGCATGTCTCTGTCTCCACACACGTGCGAGGTCATGCGCGTCTCTCTCCCCCCCTTTCAGCCTCTTTTGTTAAAGGGTGAAAGCTATGAAGACATCTCAAAGAGCAAGTTTCATAAGCAAATTACTTTAGGAATTTTATGATTCTCATGAAGCCGCCTCATGGCCATAAAAAATACACTTTCAAGGGCAGCCAACCAAATGAAAGATGGTATCTTTCAAGAACCCTGTATACACTCAGACATTCCCAAGGCATGACTGACAGGTGCTATCTTTTAGGCAAGATGAACAGTTTACCCAAAAGCTTTCACTCTGGGCTGGAATGTGGCTCAGTGGCAGAGTACGGGGCCCCAGATTAACCCCTAGAACCCGTGAGAACACCGTCCCAAGAGCAAGAAGCCTGGCCTTACTGAAGGGACTATGTCAGCTGAGGGACTGGTGGGTATGTGTTTAAATATCTGAAGTTAACACAGAGTTTTCCAAAAGCATTTGTGAGGATATGTCACTAGATATAATTAGCACAATAGAAGAGAAAAATCAGCTTGACACCAAAAATAACTATCACCTTTATCAAATAAAAACAAAAACTCCATTTATTTGGCAATTTCCAGAAGATAATATACATAAAGATTCAATGTCATATACAACAGATGTTTAACTAACCACACACACAAGATGAACACGTACTGACTGGATTTTCAGCAACAAAAGTTAAAATAAATAGCAACAATAAAACTTTGGAAAAAAATAACACATTTTAGTTGTGGAAAATATGATTTAATTATATACAGTTACATATGTAATTAAAGGCCATCTCCTCTTTTCAGATTGCACAAAACTTGGGACCAGTAAATGCATACATATTTCACGGCATGTGACACTATGATCCTGGGCCCGTTTGTGATTAACTCCAGGATAAAAAGACTTACATTCATAATAGAGTAGATGTGCAGCGCTGTTCGGGAAAGACTGTGTTCTCAGCTCGCATCGACCTGCAGTAACCCTACAAAGGCTACACAGGAAATTTCACAAAAAGAAATCTCAGATAATTATTGCGCCCACTTCACGCTGAATCCAACAGCCAAAAATGGGCTTCTAAGTAAACATGGTTGTCACTGGCTATTTTTAACACTTTAAGGATCTTTTCTTTGTCCTGGAGAACACTTTTTTACTTGATGACTAGCAATCTCAGCACAAGAAAAGGCCAGGTGAAATGAAGCTAGCTTTGGCTATCCTCCTCCTATGAGCAGGGCCACTGCAGAGACAGGAGCTTGAGAGAGAGAAGCCTAACCTCAGCTAACTTCAGTTCCCTTGTAAGCAGATCTCACTCATCGGGGGCCCCTGCATCATTAAAAACCTTACTTATGCTCATCGGAAAGGAACAACAGTAGCAACATATCCATTTACATTATGGCACAGCCCTCGATTTTGAGAAAAATACATTTTAGGGATCCAGAATAATTGCACAAACCGTAGTAACAACCTGAAAACCTCCTGGTGAGAAATACCAGTCTCTAGGGTAATAAAAAAATACGTGTGGGCTCAGTACAAATATTTACATTCAGAACAGAAGCTGCGGTCGGTCACAGGTTATGTCACGAGTGTCCACACTGCGAGGACACTGGAGTGCATAGACGACAGTAAGGACACGCTCTCTTCAGTCTGCTGCCCCTTACTCAGCCTGACACTGTGGAAGCCCCGCCCCCACCCCGCCCCCACCCGCCACCGCTTAAGTGCCGCTGATCTCGCTCATCTGCTCCACCACTTGCCCCAGAATCTCATCCACTACATCAACGTCATAGTTGACTTGCTGAAGATCCAGGTCAGGCACAATCATAGCAAGCAGCTGCCCTACATTGACTCGAAGAGAACGAAGCTTGAGGCTGCAAATACAAAGAGTAACTGATTAGGTGCATGATGCAATCTAAATGACTTCCCTTACGTACTTAAAAATTAAAAGTGAAACTACAAAAATCTCTGCGGAATGATATAGAATAAAAAGTACAACCACCCTCAAAAATTGGATTTAATTCAATAACCAACCGAGTCATCAGATGTTAGGCTAAATCCAAATATAACGTTTTACAAGCTCGTGACTCTTGAGATAACCTGGACCAGAAACACACACAGGTCAGAGGTTATTTGCAATCCGCTGTCACCTAGGAAGACAGCAGCATGCCATTGAGAGCACTAAGGACTGACACTGAGCCCCGAATTTCACCTTCCCTTGGAAGAAAATAACCCGAACTGCTCCTTCTGTTAGGCTTAACTGTCAAGCTGGCCCAACCTAGGTCATCTAAGAGAAGCTGTAACAGCCCAGGCTGTCTGTGGGTGGCTAAAGTCCACGAGTCAGGACGGAAGCCAGCACCCGCCTTCCGCCGATGCCTGTCTCAACTCCTGCTGACTCCCCTCTAAAGGATCACAACCTGGGAGCATAAGCCAAACAAACCCTTACGCCCCAAGTTGCTTTTGCTCATACAAGAAGCCGACTGAGACAGGGTGCGAATCCACTTATTGCTCAGACTTGTAGCTCTTACAGAGGACCTTTGTTCAGTCCCCAGCATCCACATAAGCAGCTGAGATCCTGTGTTCTGAACACATAGCTCTTACTCCGGTAGGGTAATTACCCACTGTTTTATCAGTTAACAGGCTGTGCTAACAGTGTGTCCTGGGCCACTTTATTTAACAGAGTCCTATGTCATGGTCATGGTGAAACTGACCCCGCTGTCTCTAAAGATTCAGCCCAGTATTTTACCCAGGTAACCAAACCATTTTCTACCCTTAATTTAGGAACTTGAAGCAATGTGCCAGGACCACAATGCCTGTCAGAGACTTCAGAGAATAGTGCACACTGAGAGCATGTTCGAACAGAGGTAACATGTGGGCTCACAACTCCAGGTCTGGAAAAAAAAAAAAAAAAAAACCTTCAGTACCTTTCCCCATCCGTGTAATTGACGGCTTCCTCCACGTTGCTTGAAGTTGAAACATGGGCTCCTGTCTGCTGACTTGTAGATTTCAACTGCTCAATTTCAGTTTTGAGTTCTTCACACTGAGAATGAACATGTGATTTCTCTATTTCCAATAAATTAACCTAACCAAGAAAAAAAGGTAAATTTTATAAGCATAAAATTTTAAAAAGAGTCCAAGTCTAAGCTAAGAAATTCCTGCTGCTGAAGCGCATGAGGTCACAGCCCCCGCCCGCCAGGTTGTCCTTCTTCCTCAGGACACCTAACCCTGAGCCACAACCTTCCACTAAGCCGGTCTCATTTGCCTAGATCCCCTTGCCAGTCCACTGAGGAAACGTCCATCACCAGTTCACACACTGCAAGTGGACCCCTGCAAAGGGACGCTGGTACTGTCCTTTACAAAGGCTGTCACTTCATCCACTTCACATCACCAAAGCCACAACAAAAGAGTCTATGATTAGCTGGCTTAGGTTTATCACTCACCACAAGACAACCTTTCATTCAGAGTGCATGGAGGGCTGGGTGACAGCTCAGTGGTTATGAGCACTGACTGCTCTTGCACGGGATCCCAAACTATCTGCAGCCTCCATTCCAGGGGAACCCACTCCCTCCACGGGTACCAGGCACCCACAAGATACAGACATAATTTCAGGGGAAACACCACACACACGAAGAAATACAACTACAAGAAACTAACTTTACCCTGGACGTGTTGGCGCACACCTTAACAGCAGCATTTAGAAGGCAGAGGCAGATGGATCTCTCTGAATTAAGGCCAGCGTGGCCAAGACATCAAGTTCTAGGACAGCCAGGGCTACACAGTAAGACCCTATCTTAAAAATAAAATACTTTGCAAATCTGAAGTAGGACATTTCTAGGAATCAAAAATGCTTCTGCATGGCCCTTCGTGCTGCAGGAGGCCCACTCCCCAGTGGCTCCGTGGGAACTCACCTCACTCTTATACTGGTCCCTCTCCACAATGCACTTGTCCAGCTGTCTGAACACGTCATCAAGCTGCACGGCCATCTCGTCCACCTCACTCTTGCTCTCGCCGGCAGAGCACTGGCTGCACTCGGCTTTTATGTGCTGCAGAGCGCTGCACTGTTTCTTCAGCCTCTCTATCTCCTCCAAAGCCTGCTGGTACTGAGACCCCGCACGCTCAGGGCTTTCCGATGCGCCGTTCACACTTTCAAGTAAGAACACCGCATCGGTCTGGGTAGACTGGGGGCAGGCTTCCTTCTTCACACACTTGCCGTTCATCTCCAGTATCCTCTGCTGTAAGACTCTTATCTGGTCAGTGTACATGTGACACTGCCTCTTGTAATCATCTCTTTCCTGCGTGACTGCGAGCAGCTCCCTTCTCAGTCCCTGTAACTGGAGGCCGGCGCCCTCTGAGGACCTATCCAAGGGCTCCTGCGCCTTTGCCTCGGCACTTACACAGGAGGCCAGTGCCACCCTGTCACTCGCTGCGCCCACCTCGCTTTCAACGCTCTCCTCCTTCTTAACCATTAACCCCGGGGTTTCAGTCTGCGTGGAGGCAGCAGTGGCTTGGTCACCCAAGCAGGCGCCCAAGCTTGCCGAACCGGCCTTCGCACAGGGTTCGGGACTGCCAAGTTCAACCTGAACACCGCTCGGTTTTTGTTCCGTGTGACCCTGTTCTGTCTTCATTTCAATGTCGTGGTCGACTGCAGGTTTGGGGGTGCTGTTTTCTTCTAAAATGATGACATCTTCATCATCGTCATTTTTGTAAGATGCGTTTTCAAATGGAGCACTGCTTAATCTCTGAGTCTTTGCGTTCAGAAACGAGGAACGAGTGGGCAGCCTCCGTTTCAGGCTGGAAGAGATCGTATTCATAAAATGTAAGGTTGTAAGACACAGGCAGGACAGAACTCAGCCTTTCTTGTTACAACAAAAGCAACTGAATGAAGGAAGGGCCCATCTGGCTCGTTTGGGCACAGTCCATCACGGCAAGGAAAGCACAGCCGCAGGTTATAGTGGCCTGTCCCAACAGGCAGAAGCAGGGCCGGCGACACACCCTCAGACCCCCAGTGAGGTATACCTTCTCAGTTTCAGTCTTCTGACACAGCCCCGCCACGGAGCAAGTGCTCAAACACATCCAACTGCGACAAAGGTACTGCGACAATTCTAACTGTCTTGACATCCAAATACATGCTCCGTTTGACTTCTTTCATTTTGTTTTTCCCTTCGAGACACGGTTTCCCTGTGAATCGGTCTTGGCTGTCCTGGAACTCACTCTGAAGACGAAGCTGCCGCCTCACACTCACAGGGATCCCGAGTGCTAGGATTAAAGGCGTGCACCACCACACCCAACCGACCACGGAGATCTCGTTCGGGCATCAATGTCTACACTGACAAACATCTTTTCACCTGTGGTCTCCAGTCACTATAATAAATACACTGAGCCCCAAACACAGCACCGACCACTCAGAGCCTCCTGAAACTGTGTGTGTGGGGGGAGGGTGGTGACATTTTCATCTGATCATTCCCCAGTGATCAAAGGCCAACAGTATTCTGTGTGGAGAGTCAGGCTCACCCCACATCTTCCCGGAAACGCTGATGTATTCAGAGGGAATGTAGTTCCTTTCTAAAGTCAGGAATGAGCTTGGCAGAGCCAGTAATGGCCTGGGGCCAGGAGGCCAAGGGGCTGTGGATCCTAAGAACCCAACACTTCCCACTGCACAGGGCTATGACCGCTAGGGCTCAGGCCGCTGTGAGCTAAATCTATATGTGTTCCCCTTATGTAATGCTGCTAGACTAACTTCCTGCTGACCTTGCCCCAGTGAACACAGTTCCTGCTGGCCCGCGTTCCCTTTCAGGAAATCCTGTACATGAGATGGTGTACTGAGCTATGGCTTGCTTGTGCAGGACTCCTGGACTCTCAGCCTTCCGATCTTAAGCTTCTCGTCTCTGTCCACCTCCCCTGAGGACCTCATCATGAAAGCAGACCTGATGGCCAAGTCAATTTCATATAAAATGATCCCCAAATTAGAAATGGTTTTGAGGCTGGGGAGACAGCTTAGGCGGTAAGAGTACTTGTCTAAGAATGAGGACCCATTGGCAGGCGGTCGGTGGAGGCAGGGGCATCTCAGTGAGTCTGTGCTCAGCCTGGTCTACAGAGTGAGTTCCAGGACAGCCAGGACTGTTACACAGAGAAACCCTGTCTCCAAAACCAAAACCAAACCCAAACCTAAACCCAAACCAAACAAAAGAGGGAGGGAGGAAGGAGGGAAGGGGGAAAGGAGAGAAGGAGATGAGGGCCTGAGCTCACATCCCCAGTATCCACGGGGAAAGCTGAGCAGGCCCTGCAACCCAGCAGCGGAGGGCGGAGACACACCGGAACGGATCTAGTATCACCCTGACACTGTGATGGTTAATTTAACATCCTGACAGGCTCTCTATCACCTAGGAAGCAGCCTGCAGAACTCCAGTCAGGTTCAATGAGTGGGAAGAGTTACCTACCTGGCAGAGATGGGCTGTCCCCTGGGCTTGTGGATTAAGGGAGAATGCTCATGAGCACTGCCATTCATTCACTGCCCTCAGGGGCTGAACCACAATAAACCTCCCCCACCAGCATACAATACACACAGAGGCTGGAGGCCAGCAGTGGGGGAGTCAGAGTCCCCTGGGATTAGGGATGCAGGTGGTTGAGAGCTAGGAGTCCTAACTGGATGAGCAGCTAGTCTCTTCCTCGATGAGCCACCTCTCTAGCCCCCTTCGGTGGCTTTCTTCGCGGTGTTTTGTGACAAGGTCAGGGTAAATAACTGAGACAGACACTTAAAAAAAGGCAGTGATTTTATACTGTATACTGTTAACAGGCCCCCCATACCTCAGCACAAGTGACACCATGCAACTCAGCACATCAACCTCAACATCTGCCAAAACAGGAACAAAAGGCCTAATCCATCAAAGACTGGGTCCACAGCTCTAGGGTCCACGAAAGCCCCCAAATGTACTAACCCTGCTTTTCACAGTCTTTCTGTAGCTGTGCTTCTTGCTAACCAGGGTGTGGTTTTGTGTCTTGTGTTCCCACAATTAAACTACAGCCCTAGGTCCCCATGTTCCTCGCTTTGAGATGGGCTATAGGATGTCCAGAACTCTCTGTAGCTCCAAGCAGACCTTGCACCAATAAACTTAAGACACCCAAGGAGCCGGGACTATAGGCTTCTGCCAACCCAGCAAGAGGTAGAGATCTGATCAAAGCACATAATACATTACTCACACCCATGGGCATGAAAACCTTGTTTTTACCCCCAAACAAGGGTCTTCTTAAATAGGTTGGCCTCGAACTCTCCACAGGCAAACACGAACTTCCCGAGTGCTAGGATTACCAGTACGTGCTATCACAACCGTCAGTTAACAGTCTTTAGCTAACTTAAATAAATATGTGGTTGAAGAAGGTAGGGACAGTGTGAACTGTCACCTCGTAGACTCGCATCACTGCTGTAAGCCAGTCCACTAACCTGTTGCTCTCAGGTTCAGACGGAGGCGAAGCAATGTGGTTACTTAGAAGCCTTGCTGTGAAAGCACCCCCGGCCTCGGGAAGATGTGGTCTTGGAACACCCTCCTTCACAGGGGAAAAGCTCCGACTGGGAACACTTGCTGCATACAGTAACTCAGGGTTGATCTGTTGGTGGGAAAAAGCATCTTGAAGGAACTATTTCACTCCAATAGTTACCAAACACAAGACACAATCTGTTTTCCTTTTACCCCAGAAGATACTGAGAATTATCCTACGCATCTAGAGTTCTTTTTTCCAAAGATTTAATATATACATAGTGTTCTGCCTGTATGTACGCCTTCGTGCCAGAAGAGGGCACCAGATCTCATTCCAGCGGGTTGTGAGCCGCCATGGGAAGTGAACTCAGGACCTCTGGAAGAGCAGGCAGTCAGTGCTCTCACTTTTGAGCTCTCTCTCCAGCGCTCCATGTGGGTTTCTTTTGCTAACTAGAAATGGATGAACGGGTCAGTGAACTAACCCAGCCTTTTACACAGGTAACATGGTTTGTACATGCATGTTGTACATGCATGGGTGTGTGTGCATGAGTGCACATGTGTACTCGAGCTTGTGAGCAGAGGTCCATGCTGGCTGTCTTCCTCAGGTGCTCTCTGCTCCATGGTTTGACATGGGATGTTCTGACATGTTAGGTCTCAGTGAACCTAACACGCGCGACTGAGAAGATTAACCCTGCAATGTCTGAGGAACCGGGATGAAAGTAAAATGGTGGTGAGGGCAGCACGTTCAAACCGCAAGTGCCCCCACTGTTTGCCCCCCCAGTCCTGGCCCCCAAATCCGCACTAAAAGCGCCGCAATGCAATCACAAGTGAACACACACCCCCACCCCCAGCAGAAAAACCTTCCTGCCAAGAAATAGTTACATTCAGCCAAAATATCCCACCCACCCCACTCCCAGCTCAAAGTGCCTGGCCTCCCCCACCCCCAGGCTCTCTAATGACAAGATTCTTTTAATCCAATCCCAGCTGCCCATATACAAATGGGTGGAGCCATCCACTGGAGCAAAGCCAATCTCCTGGGAGCCACACCTTAAAGAAAGCTGACCCAGGGGACTAGAAAGATGGACCCCAGGCTTAAGAGCATTGGCTGCTCTTGCAGAGGATGCCGGTTCAATTCCCAGCACCCACACTGCAGCTCACAAATGTAAAACACCAGTTCCAGGGGGTCCAACACCCTCAAATGAACATACATGCAGACATAACACCTACGCACATTAAAAAGTAAAAAGAAATCAAAAAGAAAGAAAACTGACCCTCCCCCACCAGTGCCACCCACCACGGACACGCCCTTCTCCTTCAAAGGGGATGCTGGGTAGGCTGGCCTTGCCCTGACAGTACGGCCTCTCCTCACAGCCCCCCAGCCCTTACAATATCCCCCCCTTCCCTCGTGTCCCCTGAACTCTAGGGGAACAGCTATGATACCCGTGACCCATTTATGAGTGTGTGCCCCGCAGACATTTTTTCTCTTCATTTCTGCAATTGCGTATTTCTGACAAGATTCGTAAAAGGCTGCCTTACCTCAACAATACCCCGCTAAATATTAATATTAATCGGACAGTCTGAAGAAGTTGTTGGGCTAGGAAGACTTGGGGAAAAGAGCCACGAATGGGTAACAAAAAAAGAGTGTGAATTCAACAAGTTCCTTTCAATTGGTCATAAAAGAGCAAAACTGTAGAATTCAGCATAGGCTAAAGCAAGCACGTCTAAAACTGAAGACAGATATAAAATAGAAGGGCTCATTACCCGAGGGATCATTTCCGGCTGTCTGATCCTGTATTTCTCCTTGCTGCTTGAAAAGAAAGATGAGAAGTGAACGTCTTGATATTCACCTATTATTATTTCACAATCCCATTTTTAAATGATGTATCCATTACACTACCAAGTTACTCAAATATCTATAATTAACTTAGCTTCTTCAATTTCATTATGGTCACTGGTGAGCATTTAGGCTATGAAGGTACCTACCTCCCCCTCCGCGTGCACTCTCTCTCCTTTAATTAAAACAAACAAACAAAACTCTTAGCGACACCTAGTGTCCACCTGAAGCACAGATCATAAACAAGGTGTCAAAGGCTCTTAAATGCTTTCATTACTTCCAAAGCCGCTCTAAAATTGAATAAATGCCAGCAGACAGAGGTTGGGGTTGTGCTGACTCAGTCAGTGCCTGCTGAGCAAACCTGAGAAACCAAGTTCCAGTGCTCAAGAATCCAAGTAAAAGGTGGGCATGACAACACATCTAACCCAGTCTGCAGAGGAAGAACCTGGAGGGGATCTGGCATCCACTGGCTGGACACTCAAGCTCAATAACGAGTTCACTTAGTTAGAAGCCCTGCCTGGGGAGGTGGTGCATTCCTCCAATCCCAATACTTGGGTGGTGGAGGTAGGAGGATTTCTGTTGAGTTTGAGGATAGCCTGGTCTACATAGAAAGTTCTATGTAGCCAGTCAGGGCTACAAAGTAACACCTTGTCTCTAAACAAAAAGCAAAAAAGGAGAGCAAAGGAGGAAGACATCTGCCATTGGCCTTGGTCAGCCCCATGACCTGTTTATCCCTTGTCACACTACTTAGGCCGTACAAACAATTATACTCATGTGCACTCTTCCCACACTGAAGAGGCCAATCATTGGCATGACCTCCTCAGACCCTAAGAGAGACACATGGGTCACCTGGAAAGAGAAACTAGATGGTATCTACAGGACAAACTGGGGGTAGGGAGGTGGTGGGAAGGGGAAGGGGGGGAATGAGAGCAGGGGGGAACTAGATGACCCAGGCAGGGAGGAATACAGTAGAAGAGCAACAGAAAAGATACCTTAACAGAGAAAGCCACTATGGGCTTAGGGACAAACCTGAGAATCCAACAGGAGAACCCCAACTAAGACTTCTAGCAACAGCAGAGAGGATGCCCCAACTGACCTACCCCGTAATCAGATTGATGAATGAATGCCCCAACTACCATCATAGAGCCCTCACCCAGTAGTAATTGATGCAACCAGATGCAGAGACCCACAACCAAGAACCAGACAGAGCTCCGGGAATCCAGGAGAGGAGAGGGAGGAGGAGGGAGGTCACTATCATGATGGAGAAATCTACCAAGACAATTGAACCAAGCTCGTGGAAACTCATGACCTCTAGACAGACACTATGGAGCCTCCTAAGAACTGAACTGGGCCCTCCATATGTGGGAGACAGCTGTGAAGCTTGGACCATGACACAAACCATGAGCTGGCTTGTTGGAGCCCACTCCTTACGGTGGGGGCTGTGCTCAGCCTGAATGCACGGGAGAGGGGCCTGGCCCTGCCCAGCCTATTGTAATAGACTATGTTGACTCCTCGTGGGAGCCCTTACCCGTGAGGAGGAGCAAACTAGGGATGGTAGGAGGGATGGCAGGGAACTGTGGAGTTTTTAAAAATTAAAAAAAAAAAAAGAAACTAAAACTCCCTGGCTCATATCATGTCCGCCTTCTCTGGCCAAGTCAGAAGCAACTCTCCTTGAAGCTAACACAGGCCTGTGCCTTTTCAGGCAGACCTCACTAGTCTTAGGAATAGATGTTCTGCCTGCATGGACCACATGTGTGACCACATGTGTGCACTGCCCACCCAAGGAGGCCACAAGAGGATGTGGCGTCCTCTAAGGCTGGAGTGTCGGGTGGCTATGAGCTCCCGCATGGGTTCTAGGAGTCACATCTGGGTACTCTCACAAACAGCTTTTTAATCTCTGAGCCATCTCTCTGGGCCCAGGCTCATCACCTTCTCACTGTTAATATCCACGCCAGCTTTTCTAGTAACAGGGGTGTTTCTGCACAGCTCATCCAATATAGCTCAAAAGACCAAATTCCTCTTACGCAAAATAAGTGCAGGCCAGAGCAATCAATGCAGGCCAGAGCAATCAATGCAGGCCAGAGCAATCAATGCAGGCCAGGGCAATCAATGCAGGCCAGGGAACAAGAGGGGGAGCACCCCTGTGCCACTGCACCCCCAATCACACCTGTGCAGGCTCAAGCGGCAACACTTTGCATGCATTATTGCTCATGATTTGGGGAGTCACTCACACAACACTCACGTCTTTTTGTAGGTTTTTTCATAAGTGGGATGTACCAAATCCTCATCTTCAGGTTCTTCTGGAACTTCACAATTTCTAGACAAAAAAAAAAAAAAAGGATCACACAGAGTAACACATCACCGGTCCAACAGTACTCTCTGCCTTCCCAGAAAGGGCACCGGCAACCACATGTATGGTACCTGAACTGTGGGTCGGGATTGTTGTAGCAATACCATTTTTCTGGGAGTTGATCTATGCCATCAGGTAGTTTTCGCCACTTTAGACAAGCATCACACTGAACCCATGTTTGATCAGGGCGCTTCCTTTAACAAAACAAGAACAAAAGGTTAAAATGGAATTATGGACTCTAGAGTTTCATTTATTTTGTACATTGATTCCACATGAAATATCTGCTCATTTTCAACCTGAAAACTGCCTGATAAAACCGCATTTCATGTATAATTAAGTTTCTAAACGTTGACAACTTTCAAGAAGTTACGGAAAATGTCTTTAACCCTAGGCCTTGGAAGGCAGGGTGCCTGTACGATCTAGGTCACCCAGGGATATAGTGAGGTCCTGCCTTGAGAGAGAAGAGGGGAGGGGGGAGGGGAGGGAGGGCAGAAAGAGGAGAGGAGTGGGGGAGGGGTGGTCCTAGCATACACTTTCAATCCCAGCATTTGATGGGCAGCAGAGGAAGGCAGATCTGTCTACACACAAAGGTCCAGGACAGCCAGGGCTACACAGAGAAAGCCTGTCTTGAAAGGCAAGGAGGAAAGTGGGGGAGGAAGGGGAGAGGGGCGGTCTGTCTTAGGAGGAGGTAACTCACTGGGCACGGGCACTTGCTTCTGTCTAGAGGATCCAGGTACAAGTCTCAGCACATACTTGTAACTTATGGTGATATTTATTTATGATCTAACAAATAAAGCTCGCCTGAAGATGGGAGTGCAAAGGCAGCCACAGAAGCTGGGCGGTGGGTGGTGCACGACTCTAACCCGGCACTAGAGAGGGTGTAAGGAGGGTGAGGACGGACGGAGCGTGGCGCTCTCAGTCTGCAGTCACACTGAAGGCAGGGTCGCCCCAGCCTTGGTAGACAGCTCTCCGGTGGACGGATGCTTTGCTTTTCTGGTCTTCAGCTTGAACCCTGATATCTGTCTCTGGGTTCTTATTCTTCATGCTACAGTAACTCACAACCATCTGTGACTTCACAGCCAGATGGACACCAGACTCTCCTCACATGTAAGCAAAACATCCATATACTTAGATAAAATAATTAAAAGAAATTCTGAAGACTCATTTTATATAAGATTTTCTCTTTGTTTGAGACAGGGTTTTAACTCTAGAACTGACTTCAAACTGTGTAATCCAGGGTGGCCTCGACCTCAGCCTCCTGAGAACTGAAATTAAAGGCGTGTGACACCACACCATGCCTTCAAAGTCTTCACCCTCTGCTCTCTGCCCTGAGAGCTGGAGCAGACATCTGACTCCCAAATAACCTTTTCCTGTGTGTGTGCATACATGTGCTTGTGCGTGCACATGTGCTTGTGTGCATACATGTGCCTGTGTGCACATGTGCTTGTGGAGGCGGAGGCTAGATGTCTTTGTTTACCACCACCACCCACACTATTTTTTGAGGCAGTTCCCTTGCTGCCATGTAGGCAAGGACTACAGGTGTCCCCATGCCAGCTGCCTTGCTTGCTACCTCCCTCTCCCTCTCTCTGTTTGTCTGTCTCTCTCTCTGTCTGTCTCTCTCTCTCCCCCCCTCTGTCTCTCCTGTCTGTCTCTCTCTCTATCTCTGTCTGTCTCTCTCTCTGTCCTGTTTGTCTCTCTCTCTCTATCTCTCTGTCTCTCTCTCTATCTCTCCCTCTCTCCTGTCTGTCTCTCTGTTTCTCTGTCTCTCTCTCCCTCTCTTTCTGTCTGTCTCTCTTTCTGTCTCTCTCTGTCTCTCCTGTCCATCTGTCTCCCTCTCTGTCTCTCTATCTGTCTCTGTCTGTCTCTCTCTCTGTCTCTCTCCCTCTCCTTCTCTCTCTCTCCCCTTACCAGTAACTTTTCACTGCAGTTTCAGTCCCAGATCCTCCAACACCCTCTTCTACCAGGCACACAGGCATGCACACAGGCAAAACACCCAACGGAATCAGCAGCAGAACTCGCTACCGGAGTGTGTGGTTTCCCTGTGTGCTGTGAGCCCCGAGCGTGTGGAAGTCACCGTCAAAAGGACCGCGCGCCCATACTTACTGTATGTCCTCCACGGGCAGACTGAGGGGACACTCTGCATTCTTTTTCACTTTCATTTCATTCCAGTAATCATTCAGCTTTTCTCCTAATGCTAGTATTGTAAGCCTTAAAAAACAAAACAAAACAACAGCAACATTAACTAAAGAAAAAAAAAATCAAAACATTAATTCCAGATCAGTTTTATCAGTTTTTAAAATGTAAGCAGGCAAGGCTGATGGCTCAGCAGTCTGCTCTTCCAGAAGTTCTGGGTTCAAGTCTCAGCACCCAATGGCCGCTGACAACTGCCTGTACCTCCAGTTTCAAGGGATCCGACACTATCACACAGATACACATACAGGCAAAACACAGGTAAACATGAGATAAAAATAAATAAATAATTAAAAGCCAGGGCTCCCCATGTAGATGCTCGAAAAATAAATAAATATAAAACAAAACAAACAACCTGGAATCTCTCAGGATATAGCCCCTTTGGTTTTCATAGTAGTTGCCACGATCGTAAACCGTCAACAGTAACAGGCTCACATAACCTTCCTTTCACAATGTGCCTGGATTTATTATCAAGGCTGTGTATTATCATATTAGCTTCCAAAGAGTTTGTGAGACTGATAACACATCTCCCTTAAATGTTTGACTTTAATAATTAATATTTCCTGTGAAAAATAGTCTTGCTACTCTCTTAATGTTTCTTTTTAATTTGCTGGACATATACAGTCTTTTTCGGAAACAGATCCTCATTCTTAAACTTTTATTACATTACTTACGCCTGTGTGTGTGTGTCTGTCTGTCTTTGTCATGATGCCCTGTAGAGGTCAGACAACTTGGAGGAGTTGGTCCTCTCCAGCTACCATGTGGATCCCAGAAACCAAACTCAGTCACCAGTCGGAATGGCTTCATTCTTTAAGCTGCTTAAGCGGATAGTCATTCCCTTGTCTTAGTCTCTTAAACACTAGGGTTCGGGTGTCTGTCACTTGACAACTTACACTGGTGCTTATTCCTGCACCTCAGTCTCACCATGCATTTATGCACTATCAATCTCAAACAAACTGCTGTTTGCTGTGTCTACTGTCAGTGTGTGTCTTCTGGCTCCAAACCAAGTCCAAGACAGTACTCTGTTCTTACTTTACTCTCAAGCATGTTTATGCCTTCCCTGTTACTGAAGCCTTAACTAAAACTTCTTATCTGAAGGCAAGTGCTCCCAGAGAAGCCTCACCTGTGCCCAGCAGGGATGAGAATATGGACTACAGCTCAAGAGGACTCAGAAGGAAACAAAACTGGGTGCTTTTTGCCCTTGTCCTAAGAATATGCCTGAGGATAAATTGAAAAGATTCAGACTAATTTTGTTGGCAGGGGAGATTTCATGACAGCTTAATATTGACCATTTTGTTTGTTTGTTTGTTTTGTTGTTGTTTTTAAATAGGTGCTGTGCTCTGTGCCTCTCTGGCTGCCTTAGAACTCACTCTGTAGACCAGGCTGGCCTGGAACTCAGAGATCTGCCTGCTTCTGCCTCCCCAGTTCTGGGGCTGTAGATGGGTGCTACCATGCTCAGCTTAGTGGTTATTCTTACACAGATACTACCCAGTTAAACTTCCAACCTGCAAAAAGAAAAGGCCCAGGAATTGTCTGTTCCTAAAAAGAAGCAACAAAGGGAAACTTATGCAAGTGAATTCCAAGGAGGGGCCAGGCCCCTGCCAGGCCGGAAGCAGAGGCAATGGGAATAAAGGAGCTGTGGACACTTCTTCCTCGGTTAAGGAGAGCTGCCAAGAAGCTGCACTGCAGGGAAGTCCCTGTATGCAAGCCAGAGGACACTGTGTGCAGTTGTCAGAGTGAAGGCCAGGGTGTTAGAGGTGTCACTCAGGGGCGTCTGCCACAGAGAGCAGACAGGGCGCGGAACCAGCCCAAGACACAGAAGTGTGTTGCAGCCAACAAAGCCTCTAATTCCAGTAGAGGCAAGAGCATCTCTTAAGTTTGAGGGCAGCCTGGTCTACATTAGCAAGCTGCAGGACAACAGGGACTACAGAGACAAGCCTCAAAGACAAGCAAAAAACTAAACAGCTAAAAGAGAAAAGCTATCTAAGCCTGTGACATCAGACAGAAAGCGATAGGATTTGGAATTTGCCATGTTGGATTTTGATCTTGTTTTGGTCCAGTATTTATTTCTCCTCTGTGCCCTCACTCCTTGCTTTTGGGATGACAATGCTTATCCTGTGGAAGAACACAGTTTGCTTTTTCTCATTTTCCAGGAGTTTTTTTTTTTTAAGTTTGAAATTTTGAAGTCGGATTGAATGAATGAATTTTGAATTATAGCTATGACCCTACCTGGGCCAGGGAGTTGACTGTGGTGGGTTGAACGAGAATGGCCCTCATAGGCGCCTGTGCTGGAACACTTGGTCTCCAAGAGAGTGGGACTATTTGGGGAGGGTGGGAAAACATGGCCTTGGAGGAGTCGCTGGCGGGTGAGCTTTGAGCGTTTAAAAACTCACACCATTCCAGTTAGCGTTCTTCTCTGCCGTGCGCCGTGTGCAAGGGCTAAGTCTGTCACTGCCACCACGCTCCCACTCTGGTCATGGATTTCACCTCTCAACTGTAGGCCCCAAACAAATACTTTCTTTTACGCTGCCTTGGTCATAGTGTCTTATCACAGCAATTAAAAAAATAACTAAAACCAGGAAGAAGCTGTACAGGGCTGCAGAGGGTTCCATGGGTGAGAGCTGACCGCTCTTGCAGATGGCCTGGGTTCAGTTCGCAGCACTGACATCATATGGCTCACAACCTCCTATCACTTCCGCTCCAGGGTCCAACCCCCTCTTTTGGACTCTGAGGACATCTGCATGCACACGTGCACGGACCCACTTAGACACATAAAGACATACACACTTAGAAAATAAAGGGAGAGAACTGAAAACTCTGAGCGGCTCGCGCAGACGATGGACTGCTCTTCCATTTCAATCTGTCGTCTATCCCACCATGAGCAGAATATAAATGCTGGTTTTCTGGGTGTGATACGTTACCCTGAGAACCCATCACAGAAAATAGAGCAAACCCTGCTGCCTAGCACTGGGGCGTCCACTTGGAGGAGGGGGAGGGCTGCCAGAAGTTCAAGGCAGCTCAGACTGCAGAGCTAGTTCAGGGCCAGAATACACAGGTCTACCCACCTCAAATACGCCCTCTGGCTAAAGGGAAGGAGAGGCGAAGATTCTAGCATCTAGCTCACTAACACACTTCCTCAGACTGCGAGTAAATAAATGGGCAACATACCTGTACTCATTAGTGTAGTCAAAATCTTGCTTATTATGAGTTGGCTTAAGGAAATTACATTCTATAATTCCAACCACTCCAACACCCATGTTGTTTGCCTGAAATATAATGAGACAGCATTTCAGACGTAACGTATGAGGCTCATTGTACCCTTCAACAAAGATTTACATCGTAGATGATTTCCTTACACTTTATATGACTCCCTGGGGATTTCCTGGTAAGGGCTTAGTGTTTCTAATCAGTTAACTCTCTTCCGAGCAGGTGTCTATTTCGATGAGAACTATGTGCACGCTGCCACCAGGGGAAGGCATGCATCGAGTGTAACAAGCACAGCCACTGGCGACCGCTGTCTGAGCAGCCCTGCTGCACTGCTAACCAGCAGCTCCTCAGCCTGCGCTCTCTACACCTAAGCACAGCAGGCACAAAGACATCATGAACGTCGCTCGTAGTTCATGGCCCCTTCTCACGCCTGGTATAAACAGCCGGCTAAACGAACCCACACTAGTAAGCTGTGGAGGCCATTGTAACATTCTCCAAGCAACTTTAATAATTTGAAAAGAAAATGAAAACCAAAATACTTGGAGAAAAAAAGAGAGAAAGAAAATACATATACCTTAAGCCCCTCTAAGAGTTCCTTGTTTAAATCAAACAACAAACCTTTAACGGGATCATTTATGCTCATACTCACCATCCAACAGAACCGGAAAGTACAGCTACTCTGGTGTATACAGAACAAAGTACAGATACTCTAATGTATGCAGAACAAAGCGCTTGGTGGGGTATGACTAACAACCTAAACTAGCTATTACAACAATGAAAGTAACCGAAAGGGGCAGTAATTCCAGGGCCAGGAAAATGGTCAGGGGACAGGCCCCTGCTACCAAGCCTCACCTGCAGCATCAGGTGGGAAGAAGGCAGCTCTAACCTATCAGTTACTATTTGTCAGGTTGGTTCCATAAGCACTTATAAAAATAGCCAAGTTAAGACAACAAACACCAATCAAATTCATTCTAGTAAAAAAAAATAATAATAATCATGTGACCCACATCCAAACACAGCTAGAGACTTGAATCCACGGAAGGTGTCATGCTAACACAGTTTGAGACCAGCCCTCTTGTAGGACAGGGCACTGGGAAGCAGGTGACAAGTGAATGTAGCCAGATGCTAGGTTAACACTGCTCTTAAGAGGCTGACACCAGCCGGGGGTGGTGCACACCTTCAATCCCAGCATGGGAAGGAAGCAAGCCAGCGGATTTCTGTGAGTTCAAGGCCAGCCTGGCCTACACAATGAATTCCAGATAGCCAGGGATGCATAGAGGGACCCTGTCTCAAAGAAACAAACACTCCTTCCCACCTCCAAAAAACTGACACCTAAAAAGCCATGAGCAAAAACTGTATTATTCTTTTGCTAAAAAGATTTTCTTTTCAAATATAAGCCTTACCTTTAACTGACATCCCACTTTTTCATAAGCCTTGATGAGTCTATTTTTGTGATACATCATTATTCCATAGTGCTCTTTATTTCTGCAGTTGAATCCAAAAGTGATTCTCACTGTTCTAGTCTTAAAATATTAAGGAAAATTCTGAGTACAACAGCTCATTCCCTTCCAATGACTCTTTCTGTATTTCTAATAGATCCCACTCACTGTGGGGGCTGGGTAGAGGGGTTTCCTCCACAGCACGCAGGTTCTGCGTATCTCCATGGCCGCTTACAACCATCTCAGTCCTAGGGGATCTCACACCCTACCTGCAAAACATTCATACACCAGGCAAAATAAAAATATACAAATCTATTAAAAATAAGTAAGTCCCAAAGTACACGCAGAAAGCAAACCTGGAGATCAAAATTCCTGTGGGGAGGGAGGGCGAGATGGATCTTCGGATAAGGGTGCTGGCCGGCCATGAATTAAGCTTGACAAACTGACTTTAATCCCTGGGACTCACATGGTAAAAAGAGAACAGACTCCTGCAAGTTGTCCACTCACGTACATGCAAATGAATGTAATTTTTTAAAATATTACAGGAATAAAGACAGTAAGGACAAATAATATTGAATATGCCTCGCTATGTTTACATGGAATTACTTGTAAAGGATACTAAAAATTTAGGTCGGTACACATCCCGTTCAATGTAGGCGAGACTCTTGGAGACTAGCTGTGTCTTCACTTTTTGACCTCGTAGAATGATCTGCATTCTTGGCTTTAGGTAAAGAATACTGCAGTAAGCCTGCAAAGAAACAGCAAAGTCTGTCCTTCCTAAAGAAGCATTCACCCATTTATTCACTGTTACTCAGGTATGAGTTTAAAAAAGAAAGCGCTCCCTTTGGTAACTAACAACTTACTTCCTCAATAAAGCAACTGAGACTACAGAGTTGGGATGCAGTCACTTGCCGTGTACGAGGCCCTGGGTTCAAGCTCAGGTACCAAGCAATGACAACAACACAGAGTTACACTAGTTATTTGATTTTAAAGGAAAGTTTTTTGAGCTATGGTCTCAAAATAGCACACGCTACTAGAACTCAGCACAGCTAAAGGGGGCTTAGAAGGCCTCCTCCCCTGCACCCGCCTCTCTGAGGGTTCCTACAGGTGTGCACCACACACCTGGGAACTCCAACTCAGCACAATGGGGGGGGGAGGGTCTCCAGTCTGAGGCTGCAGAGCGAGACAGGGTTTCTCTGTGATACCCTGTAGACCAGGGCTTGAACTCCCAGAAATCTGCCTGCTTCTGCCTCCCAAGTGCTGGGACTAAAGTCATCAATACACCACTACTGCCTCACCAAACAATAGTTTTCTTAAAAAGTTTAACACAATAACAAAGATGTGGGTAAATGAGAAAAGCCATGCAAAGGTACCAAAAAGGACATTTTGTGACCCTGCCCATTTATTATTGATATTATAATTTAAAAAGACAAACTAAAACGGTTTATTAGGCAAAAAGTAACAAGCAAAAATCTCAAATTAAAGTAAGAGAATGTTGTAAACTTGGCAGAGTTTTGTCCTCTGGAAACCTGAACGCCAGCGTATTACTATGCCGTTGAAAACTACACTGCAGCCCCTCCTCCACCTCCACGCGCTCCCAACTATTTGAGCACGCCCCCTCAAGGCAGTTTCATGCCTTTCTTTTGGGGGGGGGAGAGGGAGATTTTTGAAATGCGATCTCACTCTGCAGACCAGGCTAGCCTCAAGCTAAGAGCAACCCTCTTTCCTACTTCCAGAGCGATGAAGAGATGGATGTCAGCCACCATGCCCAGCTTGTCTTCATGAACATGGGGCACATGCCTGTGACCCCAGCAATCACAAAGCTGAACCAGGAAGACCGATAGGTAAGGCCAGTCTAGGCTACCCAGGAAGAGCTTACCTAGGTAACTTTAGGTAATGGAACAACCACCTCTTGCACTAAGGCATGCTCTTCTCCCTAGCACTGAGAACCTCTGAAGGAAACGTATTAGTAATTCAGAGGACAGACCACAGGCTCAGCACAAAGTCAAGCCTGAACATTTGTTACTTTTCCCTGGCCCCTGGCTTCAAGGGCATGGCATGATGTCTTTTCTAAAGCCACTCATGGTCTCTGTCAGCGCTACACTGCTGACTGCCTGGGACCCATTTCATTCACACTTAAGCATGACTTCAACAGCAGCGACTCCTCCCAGTAACAGAATAGAATAAGAAATAGTATACGCTTGCTATCATGATTACTCAGACCTCAGAAAATACACATTATCAAACTTGTAAATGTTAGATCCTTGGTTTGGGATACGTAATGACTTTAGTACAAAAATCATAAAGTTAGTATCTCATTCAAATTAGAAACAGTGACCACATTACCAACATCACAGTACTGCAATCTGTTTACACACAATGTGATGCTCATACTGTGTTCATATACGGGACTGAGAATCACCCTGGAGACAAACGTCTGGGAGTCCTGTAAGGGATTTTCTAGAAGAGGTTCACTGATGTGGAAAGATGCAGTGAGATAGTCCTTCTGTGGCACTGACCACGCCCGTTGGGGGGTGGAGCCATGGGCGGAAGTGACCTGTGGAAGGAGGTCTGAGGAAGAGCCTGAAAAAGCTCTCTTGCAGGCGGGACTCGGACAGGAGAGCATCCGCTGGAATTTCCTGGTGTTCATCTGTCTAGGTTGTAAGTTATTTCTCCCCGAATAAACATCTATTCAGCCTATTTGTTTATCCTTTGATATTGTTTAACCGCAATATCAAAGAGCCACCTTCAATCAACATGGGTAGCACCATCCCCGGATTGGGTCTCACACTACATTAAAAAGGAGGAAGCTGGCTCAGGAAAACCATTCCTTACTGTGTACTTGGACACAGTGTGACCAGTGCTGCCTGACCCTTCTACCACAACTTCCTCAGAACTATAAGCTAAAATAAAACATCCTTCTTAAAGTTGGGTATTGTCACAGTGAGAGAAGGAATTAATACATTTAATCTTAAAAATATAACCCATTTCTGAAGTCAAATCTCAAGAGATACCACAAAATGTTATAATTGCATATTGTCTCATCAATATGCTTTAGAAGACAAATCAAGGTATATCAAGTGCGTATCCTACAACATTGTTTTAAGACACTGAATTTGGTGTTCTGTGACTTCAATTAATCAATATGGTAAATATAAAATGTACGGATTCGCCAACTCAAATGAACCAAGTGTAGTGTAGAAAAGCAAAAGCTCTGTAAGAACTGACGTCGTCAGAATTAAAACAAGGCTCCCTCTCTGCTCTCTCTGAGACCGTGTCTCATGTAACCCAGGCTATGGAGGCAAGGATAACCTTGAACTCCTGACCCTTTGGCCTCCACCTCCCCTGTTCTAGGATTATAGGCATGTACCATCATGTCCAGTTTGTGGAGTCTTAGGGGCCAAACCCAGGGTCTTGTGCATGCCAGGCAAGCACTTACCAAGTAAGCTATGTACCAACCCACCTATTAAAACAAGGCTATCACAGCACATAAAACAACAGTACCCAAATGAGCAGTTCAGTGTGCCGGCTCATGTGTAACACACACCCGGTAGAGGGGCCAGAGTGGGCGCGAGCCCGCCAGCCCCGAGCACACACCCGTAAGGAGTAGTCACTCTCGGGGGCGATCTGGTCTGTCCGTTCTTGCTTCTTGTACCCTTTCTTTCCCGCAGTCTCATCTAAGTCCTCGGGGATTCTGATGTCATACTTATCCTTTTCAAAGTCAAATTCGGTTGCGTTTTTGTAACTGCAAGAAAAGAATTAAAAAGAAGCACATTTCAACTTCAGATCAAGAAAAATAAGCAAATACTAATTGGTAAGAAGAAAATGAACAAACAAGCAAGTAAACAGCATGTCTGGGGTCAGGGAAACCACAGCCCCCGGGAGCAGCTGGACAGGACAGAACATGGCATGGCACCTCGGGACAAAGCCTAACAATACAGAACCTGTACTCCTGCGCATCCCCAGAGACATCCACATCTGTTTACAGCAGTATCTCTAACGTGCCAGGCTACAAAAACAACACTCATGCTTCTGTACAGGTGAGGTGGCGAACGCCTGGGCCTGAGCTAACGATGGCGTGTCAGTGTGAAAACAACACACCACGGAACTAGAAATGCAAAGAGGGGCAAACCCTGGTGGGTCCACCTAGAGTTACCTCTATGTTACTTTCTGAAAGGACATGACCAAGCAAAGGTCAAGGTCAGAGGTTGCCTGGACCGGAGCAGCCCAGCGAAGAAAACGCCATGTGTGGCCACAGCACAGAGCCAAGTGCCCGGCAGTTTACGGCACCGATGACAGTGCCCTGGCACTATTAACAGATTTAGAGCAAACTGTAAGGGACTCGAGAGCCAGACTGCACGTGAATTACCAATTCAGGAAAACAGAGAGCGTCACTGAAAGTAAGGAAACGGACTAAGAAGGGGGACAGAAAGCTGAATGCAAGCAAAGGAGATTCAGTCACCAGAAAAACAAATTCTAAAATGCTTTAGGTTCATTTCTATGATTCAATGTATCACAGATGTCTTACAATTATTTATTAATAGTTGAAGCTCTTAATTGTAAAGGATTGTATCCAAAGACAAGGAAGCACTAATTTTAATTCTTAAAATTATTTTACTTATTTTGTGTGTGCGTGTGTGTCAGAGAGAGAGAGAGAGAGAGAGAGAGAGCGCACTTGTGTAGACATTTAAGAACAACTTTAGGGAGCCTGGCTGCAAGCTGACCTTTACCCATCGAGCAGCTATATCTCACAAACTCAAGAACTATACATTTTTAGCAAGGCAAAATTTTCATCTATATTACTTACTGGATTGTTAGCTCATGCAATCTAAATTTCACAAGCTATTCTTCCTAGCTAGTATTTCATCTTTATTTTCTTTCTCTTTTTTAAGGTAGTTTTTTGTTTTCGAGCCTAGGAATGGAATAATAGAGACATAGTACTATTGGAAACTGAATGAAAGGACTAGAAAATTTTTAGAGCAATTTGAAAGTAACTCTTTGAAGCCAAAGTAGGCTTAATAAAATAACCTTAGAAAACATAAATTACGGGGCTGGAGATGGATGGCTTAGATGTTAAAAACATCGGCTGCTCTTCCAGAGTCGAACTCTTCCTGAGTTCAACTCCCAGCAACCACATGGTGGCTCACAACCATCTCTAATGAGATATGATGCCCTCTTCCGGCCTGCAGGCATACATGCAGGCCAGAACACTGTATACATAATAAATAAGTAAGTCTAAAAAATGAAAAAGAAGAAAAGAAACCACAAATCAGTAAGTATACAGCACATGCTTTCCCATTCACTTCTAGTCTGTGTTACAAGGCTAACACAATGCAGGGGCTCTGTCACGGACTTAACTTCCCATGGTCAACTACCAACAGAGGTCTACATTTACCTTCTAAGATTCCAAATGATGATCCTTGTCCCCTTCTTACCCATAATAGCATCAAGTTCTGCCAGTAATTTCTGTTCCGTAGAAAACAGGGAATGTTCCAGAATTGCTGCTAGGCTTGCTTTTGATTCTGCTAAATTAATCATCTGACGTATGTCCTTAGTTAAAGATTGAGATCAACAAATTGTATACAAGTATAACGCAGAAGACAACTTTAACAAACTCAAGAGAAACCAATCCCTAAATTATTTATAGCTCCTGAAGAATAGCCGTGTGGTTCAAATGAGCACAAGGAATGATGAAGAGTAAGAATGCCACGGGGCTCAGGGGCAGCACCTATACCCAGCGAAACGGGGCTAAGGACGGAGGATGCCCTCAAGGCAACTCGCCTCAACTCTGAAAGGGCAGGGAAACAGCAAGTCATTATGTCTAACTAAGTGGGTTATGTCACTGAATTCCTAAAATCATGTTGCTTTTCACTATTAGGGAAACTTTCAAGCCAGGCCAACACAGCCTTTCTTATTAACCCACAACAAGCTTGAAATAAGGAACTATACATAAGGCAGGCAGGGTGGCTCACGCCTGAAATCCCTGCTGTGTAAGACGCTGAGGCCCCATCTAAGGAAAGGGAGAGCTGTGGAGCAGAGTAAGCTTGTCACTCCGTGGTCCTACAGATCAAACTCAGGTTCTCACACGTGACAGATCAGTACTCTACTACTAAGTGCCATCTGCAGCCCTGGAAAACAACTCTACACCCTTAATCCCAGCACTCAGGAAGCAGAGGGAGGGGCAGGCAATTGCTGTGTTTTTTTTCAAGCCCAGCCAGGGCTACCAAGTGAGAACTTGTTTCAAACCCACCCACCCACCCACCCAGCGTTTGGTTGGACGGGATGGAAAATCAGTAGTTTGGAGGCAGGCCTGGCTAACATGGAAGGACCGTGGTTTGCTAAAACCAAAGACAGGGCAAGACAAGAATTAAGGGAGACAGGAAGGAGTGTTCCAGACTTTTTTAAAGTTTCTCTGCAGCATTCATTCCCAAACCGAGAGGATATGGTGTTTGTTGAATGTGACGATAGGGACAACAACGTGCTCCGCCTTTATGACTTCCAGGTAGGTCTGAGACAAGAACCCCACACTCATGGTTTCTCCGTTTTTGGTAAAAACTATTGCATCTTTGCCCAGTCTCATAGAACCAGACTTGAAGCCATTCCCGTACAATCCAACCGGGACATGACCATTCATGGTGACTTTGTCACTGAAGCCAAAGCTAAAAAGAAAAGGAAGACAAACAATAAAAACTCATTCTTTCATTTTTAAAACTTCAGTAAGTATAAAGCCCTTTTAAAACGGAATGAGTAATACCCAGTAAAAGCCTGGATTCAGACCCCACCCACCTGGGAGTAAAGTCTAGAGCAGGTGGCTTTGATCTATTGATATTCACACCTCTGTCATCACCTGGGAAGGCATGGCCAAATGTCTGTCTTACAACACTAAACAGGCCCACAAACCTTCACGTCTCAGGCCACAGATTGCTTCCTCTAGATATTTTCTCTTGCGGCATGATTAATGATGGGGTCAATTTGAGTTGGTGGCAGCATAAGGGACATTTAGAGGCTTCTGCTTCTGGCCCCTCCCTCTCTCCCCGCTGTTCACTTGAGTGCTCAGTGCAGACACTGCACTGCGGCCTGAGATGCATGAGTTATTCTACACCTCTGCACTCTCCAAGTCTCTCATGTAAATTCTACTAAAAACACAAGGTAAGCCTACTTTATACCGCGGTAAAAACAGCTACAACTCTAAAGGAATGCAGGAATTTCAGGTGAGGCAGACTCGGCCAAGGGGGAGGAGCATGGCGGGATTGCCTAATAATATAGCTGTAGAAAATAATGAAAGCCCTCATCACACTGTGGAAATGCATTTTGTGTTCTGAAACAAAAATGAAGGTCACATGTAAGTTATCATTTTCTGAGGTATAATGTCTCTTACACACCTTAGCATTTTGTGTAACTTATCTGTGGTCATTCCGTTCCCATTGTCAGTGAAAGTCAAGCATATGCGGTCACTGATCACTGTCTTATCAATCCAGATCTGTTTAGCATTCACATCAGGATCATAAGCATTATCTGGAAGACAAAGGGTTTTGGGAAATTCTGAGTCTGCAATTTAAAGAAGCCGTTCATTAGAACAATGCTGTAACAAGCAACAGAAGATACTATTCCTTTCAGAGTTCTAGTGTAGAACATTCCTAGGGTTTGAAAACACAAAGCTAAACTGCCATTGGCTGTACCAGAACTGGTTCTCTCCCAGCCCTTCACATCACACAGGGGATAAAGACTGGCACCCACTACACTACACTCAAGCCCGAAACACCACTACTAACAAAGATGGTTAAAACCAGCCTGTCTGTCTACCTATCGCAAGGGAACTGAGAACTGAGTGTCAGAGGGCACCGGAGTGGACACAAGAGCTAAGTCACAGTTCAGAATGAGAAGGCAGAGTCCCCTTCTCTAAGCCACACACAGAGGGAAGACTCGCTCCTACAAGATGCATGTGTGATCGTGTGATGTTTCTCCATCACTGTGCACACTTCCCTTTCACCCTTTAACATGTTTACATACTCCTTTCTCAGAACGGCACAATAAAGGACTGTTAAAAGATATGTACCTTATCAGTAATAAAATCAATGTGTAACTTATCCAAGATCCAAGATCCAAGCCCCTAACTGAAATATACTTCCAAGTATTTACTAGAAATAATGGCTTTCTGGATTTGGGGACTGACCCTTTTCCTCATACTGGGCTGCCTTATCCAACATTAATACAAGGGGAAGTGCCTAGTCTTATTGCAACTTGATATACCACGTCTGGTTGAAATCCATGGGAGGCCTGCCCTTTTCTGAAAAGGAAAGGAGTGGAGGGGGGGGGGGCTGGGAAGAGAGACGGGAGGGAAATTTTCTGTCAGGATGCAAAAAAAAAAAAAAAAAAACATTAAAAAAAAAAAAGAACAATGGCTTTTAAACTATCCTTCTATAAATAAGCTTACAATTAATCTTTCCCACCACTCCAGGAAAGATAAAAAAGAACCCTTGCAAGGTGTTGCAGCACATCCACTGCAGAGCTGGGAGAAGAAAAAGATGCTTGTTGGCTGACTGTATAAAAAGCTTAGTACTCTAGCAAAGGAGCGATGCTGGGAAGGGTGCTTGCTCTGCTATCCCAGCTCTAGAGACGCCGAGGGCCAAGACTTACTGTGAGTTCCAGGCCAGCCTCGGCTAGAGGGAGACCAGTCCTTAATAAACAAAAACTCAAAGGTCCCGCTTCCCATATCTCAGGTAGGGCCTTCCTTTGATAATGATCCCATTGTAAAATACACAAAGAAAGTCCAAAGAATAACATTTCCCCCTTTAAAACATAAGCCTGGAAGAGAAAAAAAAAAAAAAAAAAAAAAAAAAAAGAAAAAAGAAAAAGTATTCTTGCTCATGTAATTTCCTAAGAAGAAAATCATGACCTCATGACACAAATCTGAAAGCAACTTATATATTGTCTCATGTTCATTAGATAATTAAGGTATTTTATATTCCTGGACCTCATCATCCCTTAGAGGAAACAATATATTTAACATATTAATTCTAACACCTGAAAGAGGAATCCACTGTGAAGCATAATTCCTATTTTTTACTTTCATAACCAGTAAAAATATTTGCAACATAAGTGCTTTGTAAATTTAGCAATTAAGAACTTAAAGGTATGAAAACACTTAGGTAGTATGGGGAAGGTAAGGAGTAATCAACCCACTTGATATGAACTTAAACAACAGTTAAGTCAGCTTTTACACTAATGTTATTCAGGATGTATTTTTAAAAGATAGGTGCATATTACTTTTCAGAAGTTATTAAATTATAATTATAATTACAATTAACAGATAGCACATAAAATGTCAATTTACATACCTATTAATTCAGCAACTGCACTGAATGGCCAAGTATGACTAGTAGAATTTGTATGTAAAAACTTCGGGCAAAGCTGAAACAAATCAACAATTCATATAATTTAATGCAGCCCTTAATTATGAGCACAAGATCCAATATACGTTTTCTCTGTGTTAAACAAACGCTGAGACCAAATTAAAAAATTACCTAATTGCTTGCTCCAAGATAAAACCTAGAGAGCAGCTTCCCGGATGATGAGGCTGGGAACAACTCAACAGCTTACACAGCAAGACCTGTTTAAAACCCTTGATTCCGTATGTCCCCAATGGCACAGCTTTCCTGATTCCCTTGTAAGACCTGTTTTTAAATGGCCCAGCCAAGACCCTAAAGCCTGACAAACATCATTGCCTTCATCTCCCTACCTTGAGACAAGATTTTGCCAAGAGGGTGCTTGCCCACTAGTGTACTGAGCAGGTCTGATACTTTCGGAAGCTTGCTGGAGACCTCTCAAGAGACTGAGCATCTGACACTCTTGAGTTGGTTGCTTTATCCATTCCAAGTTTATTGCAGATGAACACTAGCCTGGTGTGTATCCATGACTTTTTCAAATAACAAACCACTGCAATTTCCAAAGTTTTGAAGTATGACTTTACTCTCAATAATAGATATGAAGGAAAGACCAATCAACCCTATGATACAGGAAATTTAAACCTTGGGCAATTTAGACACATAGATGCACACATGTAATCAATTAGTTTAAGCACTTTTTATAAAGGCAGGGTCAGGACTGGAGAGATGGCTCAGCAGTTTAGAGCATTCACTAATCTTCCAAAGGACATGAGTTCAATTCCCAGCACCCACATGGTAGCTCACAACTGTCTGCTGCCATCGTACCCATATAGATAAAAATAGAATCTTTAGTGGCATACCCCTTTAATTCCTGCCCTTGAGAGGCAGAGGCAGGGGGAATCTCTGTGAGTTTGAGGCCAGCTTGGTCTACAGAGAGAGTTCCAGGGCAGCCAGAGCTACACAGAGAAACTCTGGGGATGGAGGGCAGGGTCCTGTACCCTAGGATAGCCTTGACTCACTTTAAACTTCTAATCCTCTTGCCTCCACGCCCCCAACACAAGAGGCTGGGGATGCAGCTCAATCGGCAGAATGCCTGCCCAACAGGGACAAAGACCTGGTTAGCCCCAGCACCCCGTAAAACTGGGCACGGTAACCGAGAACCCGAGAACCTATAACTCCACCACCTGGGAACCACCACAGCAGAAATTCAAGTTGGGAGACCAGCACGGGCTGTTGGTCTCAAGAAAAAAAATGACAAATAAAAACCTAGGCAACTCCCCCACAGAAACTGGCAGGGCAAGCTGTGGACTCCAAGGACAACCAAAACCAGGCAGAGTCACACCAGCAAGCCAGCAAGCAGCCTACAAACAAACCCTATGCATAAGGTGCCAAGATCATTCATTAGCAAAAGGCTTTTCCAAAAACAAAGCTGGGGAAACCAAACCCCTGTATTAACACACATATGATTTATGTCAAAATGAATCAAAACCTAACATAACAGATAAAGCTGTTAGACTTTAGAAGAAAGCAAGAGAAAAGCTTCATGACATTAGATTTGGAAATTATTTCTTGAATATAACAAAACTGTATGTAAACTAAACTATGTCAAACCCATGTTCCAGTGTGGTACTATTTGATAAACTGCTTACAATAGCAGAACAAGGAAGACGCGCCAAGACCGCTGGGTACGTCGGGCTACGGATACAGTGAAGCTAGGAACGGAGCCACCGCCTTCAGCCCCAGCTGCTTTGGATAGCAGCCCTTGGCCCTTTGGTTGCATGGGAACTGGGGGTCTACGTGTACATTCCAACATGACAAAGATGTCAGTCCACAGAGGAGGGCAATGCATGGCTATTAAGAGGGACAGGGGTGTCCTAAGGGAACCTGGCTCTCAACTTGCAGCACCCCAACCTCTGCACACCACTGATGTCAACTGGCCTCTGCAGCCCATTCCTAGGAAATCTCACAACACAAGGCAGTGAAAACCAACCCTGGGGACACACCCTAGCAGCACAGGACTTGCCCAACAGCCACAGGCATCCTGGGCTTTATCCACCCCCACCCCACACCCCGAGTCCAATTCACAGAATTCAGCTAAGATCAAACCAGAATTTAGCCCTCAGAATGCACATTGGTCAGATCCTAACGATCAGTAGCTCCAACCTGAAGCAAGTCAATGCTCCATTTCTGGCTCCGGAAGGCATCTGCAGGAACACATGCATACACACATTAAAAACAAAAACAAAGCTGGAGGAAAGCTAGGTGTGATGGTGCACACCTTTAATCCCAGCACTTGGGAGGCAGAGATCTCTGGGAGTATAGAGCAAGTGTAGGCCTGGTGAGGATACCGGGCTATATATTGAGAGCTTGTTTCAAATAGAGAAAGAGAATGAAGATGTCAGGGATGTGAAGAAACTGGCACTTCTGTGTTCTGTTTTATCAAAGTGGTCAGCAGCAGCAAAAGACTGCCTGAAGTCTAGCCTGAAGACCCTAGTTCACTCAATTCCTGGGACCACACAGTCGAGGAGAGCCGACTCCTGAAAGCTGTGCTCTAACCCCCACACAAACACCACGGCACATGTGTGCAAACCCCCAATAAGTAAATAAACAACGGAAAACAAGAAAATTGTCAGGACCAAAATAAAATCAAACCAGGGAAGCCACAGAAGGAAGATCCTTGAAAATATTGGCCAGATAACAGAAATCATCACTAGAGACAGCTAAAACCACAGCCTCGTACTAGACAAGAGTATTTTCTGCCTGTCACCTGTCCAGAGACTCACTCATTACCCCTGAGCTGACAGGATCCACGCTCCTGGTCCTTGCAGCCAAAGGCAGCTGTTGACTTTTTAGCATGCCTGTCTTCTGTGGCCTCCCTACGTTCTTAACAGTTAGCACACTCTGCTTGCAACTCCCTGATAACCATTCTACACCATTTAGGCTGACACTGGCTGGGAATGTAAAATGCACAGCTTCCAGGGAACACAGTATGGTGGTTCCTCAAAAACTTAAGACACAATCCTGTAGGGTAAGTCGCCACTCAGAATGGAACTCTGGGTACAAAGGAACCAAGTGCCTTCTCCAAAGTTACACACCCAATTACCTAAATCAGGAGTGAGGTCATGAGGGCAGGCCCAGCCTGTGCTGTCAGTCACTAAGGGACTGAGTCCAAGCCACTACCCAGGCAAGGGCTCCCAACTGATAAATGCTAGGTGTGTCTGAACACAGCTGGAAAGACTCTATGTCCTTCAGAAAGTGTGAATGATCTAGTGATCAGTATATACAGAGAGAAAAAACAAACAAAATATACATCAACGACTAGCCAGGGAAAAGAGAAAGCTGTATAGAAAATGCAACCACAGGACAGTGGCAGGCATAAGGCATATCTGAAAAAAGGAGCAAACCAACTCCAACAGGGCCTCTCTGGTGGGGAGGAGCCAGTGTGTCAGCCTGTGTCAGCTGGGTACACAGGACCTCTCTGGTGGGGAGAACTCAAAAAACAGTAACCAATGGTCTGAGCATTTTACTTAGAACTAGAGAAAAATGGAAAAAATTATTTTTTTTCTCTGCCCTCCACATTTGGTTCTCAGACCTGAATCATTCTAAAATGTCTATCAAGAGCACAGAGTATCCATATGGGACGACCCTGGGTCACTGCCTGCCTGATCTTTGACCCCCATCACCGCCCCGCTGGAGGAGAGACCTCCTAGAGAGCTTGGACCACCCAGAGCAACAGACATCTAACTCCTGACCCACCTACACCCTAGGAAAGAGCAGCAGAGAGAGAAAGAGAGAGAGAGAGAGAGGCTCCACCTGCACCCACTGGAAGAAGCGATGGGAAGACGGCAATACAAGAAAACACCTAACAATAGAAACACAAGCATGACACCACCAGAATCCAGGGACTGTACACCAACTGGACCTGAACACACCAAAGCAGATGAAGCAGCAGAGAACGACTTAAAAAGTAACTTCATAAAAACAATAGAGGCTCTCAAAGACGATATGAGAAAAATTCCTTATTAAACGGAAGAAAAAAACAAACAAAAAATGAACAAATCTCTCAAAGAAAGTAAGGAAAGACAAGAAAAAACAATCAAACAGATGAAGGAAACAACTCAAGCAGTTCAAGACCTGAAAACTGAAATAGAGACGATAAAGGAAACACAAACTGAGAGAATGCTGGAAATAGAAAAACTGGGCAAACGATCAGGAACTACAGATGCCAGCATAACCAACAGAATAGAGGAGATGGAAGAGAGAATCTCAGGAGCTGAAGATAAACTAGAGGAAACAGATTCATCAACCAAAGAAAATCTTAAATCCAACAAATCCTTAATACAAAATATCCAGGAAATGTGGGGCACCATGAAAAGGCCAAACCTACGAATAATAGGCATAGAGGAAGGTGAGGAAGCCCAGCTCAAAGGTGCCGAAAACATATTCAACAAAATCATTAAGGAAAACTTTCCCAATCTGAAGAAAGACATGCCCATGAAAGTACAAGAAACATTCCGAACCCCAAATAGACTGGACCAAAGAAAAAAGACCCCTCGACATATAATAATCAAAACACCTAGCATACAGAATAAAGAAAGAATATTAAGAGCAGCGAAGGAAAAAGGACAGGTAACATATAAAGGCAGACCTATCAAAATTACACCTGGCTTCTCCATGGAAACCCTCAAGGCCAGAAGGACCTGGATAGATGTTCTACAAGTACTAAGAGTCCACGGATGCCAGCTCAGGCTACTATACCCAGCAAAACTCTCAATCATTATAGATGGAGAAAACAAGATATTCAATGACAAAGGCAGATTTTCACAATACGTATCTACAAATCCAGCCCTACAGAAAGTTCTGCAAGTAAAACTCCAACCCAAGGAAGTTAACTATGCTCACAAAGACAAAGGCAATAGATAATTCCACTTCACCAGAACCTAAAGGCAAATATATGCACAATACCACCATCAACAACAAATCTAAAACAAACAAGCATTAACAATCAATGGTCCTTACTTTCCTTACATGGCATCTTCCAATAAAACTATAGAAACTAGCATTTATTTCACATGTCACAGTATTCTTTTTCAAACATTCTGAGCTCTCACTTTTAGATCACAGATCATACAAAAACAGGTGCCAGACTAGATTTGGTTCATAAGCTATACTGTACCAACTAGTCATGAACCAAAAGCAGACAGGCAGGAAAAAAAATGTGAGGTTCCAAGAGCTGGTGCCAAATTAGCACTGTAACCACCGCCACACCCAGAGTCAGTCAGTAATTCTGGACTTTGCCACAGTGCTGGGGATGAACCCAGGATCTCAAGAACACTATTTGGCATCAATGCCAACTTTAAGGAATTTGGTTTGCTTGTTTCCTCCTTTCAATCTTTATTTTCTGAGACAAGTTTCACCACGTTACCCTGACTGGCCTGGACTACATCTATGGAGATCGAGCTAGTCTGAACCTCAGAGTTCTCGGAGCTTGCCTCTACTCTACCCTTGAGTGCTGGACTCCAGGCACAGGCCAAGCCTCCTTGTTTGTTATTCTATGTACACTGGGGACAAAAATCTAGTCTTGCCCTTGCCAGGCCAAGTGCTCTACCATTAAGCTATTACACCCTACACTCCCGTCCTCTGTCCCCTTATATCTGGAGGGGGTGCCGCTGAATTGTCCAGGCGGCCTTGCACCTGTGACCCTGCTGCCTCAGCCTCTTGCGCAACTACAACTATAGAAACAAAACACACTACAGGCCTGGTACCAATTCAACCGCGCTGTGTGGTGTGTGTGCCTGAGTGGACATGAACATGGAGGCCAGAGGCTGACAGGCACGCTCACCTTATTCCCGAGGGTCTTCCACTGAGCCTGGAACTCAGTCTGTCCAGACTGACTGGCCAGAGCGCTCTAGGTAGCTCCCCCTGCTGAGATTACAGACACTTCACTGGGGGAGGGGGGAGACCTCATCTCTACTCCCCCCCTGCTGAGATTACAGACACTTCACTGGGGGGGGGGAACCTCATCTTCACTCCCCCCCCACTGAGATTACAGACACTTCACTGGGGGAGGGGGGAGACCTCATCTCAGTGCTCCCGATGCACACTCACTGAACCAGTCAAACGTCTAATTCACCCTTTCCACCTGATCATGACTGGAGTATGCTTTGGGTTGCAGTGTATCGTTCTTATTTAGGAAAAAGGTCAAGAAACATGGTTCAAGCTGGTCCTCTTGCCTCGTCCTTCTTAGTGCTGGGCTTACATGTAGCTGGAATTTTCTTTGGGCTACCAACCAAATAAAGCCACAGAGACTCTTCAATTATGAACGCCAAGCCTTATCTTAGGCTCCTCCCACTAGCTCTTTTAACTTAACTGGGTTCTATTCATCTACATGTTCTCGGGGCTTTTAACCTCTCTTCCCTTCTGTATGTCCGACTTTCCTGCTTCCTCCCTGTCTGGCTGACTGGCCCTGGCATCTCCCCTCGCCACCTTTTCTTTTTCCCTTAAGTCTAAATTCCTCCTCCTACTTAGTCTCCCTGCTCAAAGTTCTACCCATACCTCCTCCCTTGCTACTGGCCATTCAACTTTATAATAGACCAATCAGGTGCCTTAGGCGGGCAAGGTAAAAGAGCAACATATCTTTACACAGTTAAACAAATATTCCACAACAGTTATGGGTGTGCAACTATGCCCAGTCATCTGCACGTCACTCTGAAAAGAAATAGCATTTGTATTTATTGTATTATTTTGGTAGGGGGTAGCTCCAAGGGCCTAGCACACCCTAAGTGTGTGTCATTACACTAGCGTACATCTCAAACACTGAAACATCACTTCTACTGAGGCTAACTGGTATGAATGGAAGCTCCCTGAAGCTTCATCTGCCGTCAAGATCCTGCATGTGTGTGGCTAACTACACACTATCATTGAGGAATGTAATGTAAGATAGCTGAAATTCTCTGGAGCTACCTAGTGCTTTCCTCTCGGGTGCTAAGGACTGAGCCTGGGCCTTACCCATGGTAGGGAGGTACAATCCATGACCTGCAGCCCGAGGCCACTTTCCTCCCTATTTTGATTAAGTTGTGCAGGCTGGCCTGAAGTCTCTCTGTAGCCCAGGCGGGGCCACATTTGTGCTCCTGTCTCGGCCTCCAGAGTAGAGGAGATCACAATCTGCACCCGGCCTGCCTTGTCAGTCCCCGGTATCTGACCTAGCATCTTCAGTAGGGAAACGCTGTCCTGTGAGGCACAGCAGAACTCTCCCTGCTCTGCCACCGGACACTACCGTCAATTATTTGGCAAATGTCCTCATTCATAACTTTATTTCGTAAGACTGAGGATACAGCGACTGAATACTTGCCCGGCAGACAAGAAGTGCCTTGCTGGATAACCCCTAACACATACTCATCCATCACCACCACCTCATTGCCCAGGGCAATCTATATCCCGCTCCGGGACCCTGGCCACCCATAATTGACACAGAATAATTTCTTCCTTTTTTTAAGCTTTATTTATTTAATCAATGAGTGCTCCACTGCATGTACACCTTTCTGCCAGAAGAGGGCATCAGATCCCACTAGAGGTGGTTGTGAGCCCCCAAGTGGCTGCTGGCAGTGGAACCCAGGACCTCGGCCAGTGCTCTTAAAGGCTGATCCACCTCTCCAGCCCTGAGACAGAATAACTCCTATTACTTCCCTGGGAATAAGAACTCTTTTGGCTCTAGAGTGGTGAGTGTAACTCTATCCAAATTCACCCAGTTGGGGAGCAGAACTAAGAAGGCTTACAACCAGTGGAAAGAAAGAAGAAAACTCTCTCTCTCTCTTTTTTTAAACTACTAAAGACCATTTCATTAAACAACTAAGTAATTAAAGGTCCTTGACCTGGAAATGTAATCATAAACCAGCACGATTTCTCTCTCAAAGAAAGGGGATTAAGCAAGAATGGCCAAATTATGGGCTCTAGAGAAATGAGTCTGGTAAGAGCACCCACTGCCCTTACAGGGGGTCCAGCGTTCAGTTCCCAGCACCATCAGTAAGTGAAGGGATCTGAGGCCCTCCTCATCTCCAGGCACACAGGTGGGTACCGTACCCATACACATGCACATAAAATAAATAAATGGGGGGGGGGGAGGGCAATCTGTATACAAAGCGACAACAAAAATGTGATGGATGCCCAACTTCACAAACGGGCAGGGGCAGCAAAACCAGGTTAACATTTCACGCACACTAGGGACGATCCCATCCCGTAGGAAGAACACGGCCAAATGAATGGACGGGGCGCAGGTGCGTCCTTCAAGTGCCGGCGAGCCACTCTGCAAATCGTTACCGCTCAGCGATGAGATACATAATAGCACGGAGCGCCTATCAACCCCTCTGCACCCTCTAGGAGTCAGGGCTTCCCCGCGTCCCCCAAACAGCGCTAGCATCTGCCTCCGCCACCCCACCCCACCCCACCGCACCGCACCGCACCCGAGCGCCGGGGTTACAGACACACCCCACCCCGCGCGCAAGCCCAGCAGCCACCCTGCTGCAGACGTGCACCTCCTGGGCTGAGGAAGTACTCTCGCCCGCCCGCGGCCTCGGCGCCCGCAGAGAATTAAAAACTTTGCAGGAATCCTCAGGTGAGGAAGCCACGCCCACCCGCAATGTTTTGGACCCGAAAGCCGAAGTCGTTCTGCGTGCGACCACTGCCAACGGCTCCGGGCCGGGGCCGGGCCGGGCGGTGTGTCTGCGTCGGGCACGGCCGCAGGCACACAAGCGCAGGGAGGCCCGGGCCAGCCCGGCGGGAGGACGCCAGGCCCTGGGCCTCGGTGTGTCCGTGCCGGCCAGGCCCGGGGCAGACGCACGCCGGCGGGGACCGCGTCCGCCCGCGCCGCAGCCGCCGATCCGCTCCGATCCCCGGGGCCGGGCCGGGCCGGGCGGCTGAGGGCGCGGCTGCGGCGACAGCTGGCGGCGGCCGCGGAGCCCCAGGCGGGCCGGGGCGGCGGGCAGGGCTGTCCCGCCCGGCGCGCACGCATCGCCCGCATCGGCCGCCCAGCCGCTCCCGCGAGCCGAGCGGAGCCGAGCGGAGCGGAGCCGAGCGGAGCGGAGCGCACAGACATGGCGTCCGCGCCGCGACCCCCGCCGCCGCCCAGGGCCACCCCGCCCGCCCTCCGGGGACCCGGCCCGCTCCTCCCCTCGCGGCCGCTCACCGCGCTGAGGCGGATCCCGCTGGGTGACTGCGCCGCCATCTTGAGAGAGCTACAAAGCCAGGGCCGGCCTCGGCCGCGACCCGACTGGGGGCTAGGAGTCCGCGGAGGCGCGGCCACGCCCACTTCCGGGGCGGGGCGAGCGCGGAGGCGCCGCCCACTCGCTTCCGCCTCGGGCGAAGCCCAGCCGGGCGTGGAGGCGGGCTTGCCCGGCGGCTGGGGCTGACGCGCTGCGCAGGGCGCATGCGCACGGCGGGCACGAACTCGCGCCTGGTGCCTGGACCTTGAGGCTGGAGATTGGCGCGAAGGACCGTGCGTGTGTGTGTGTGTGTGTGCGTATGTGCAGAAGGTAAAGTCGGATGAGGATTGCACTGCACAAGTGTGTGTGCGTGTGTGTGTGTGTTTGTGTGTCTGTGTGCAGAAGGTAAAGTCGGATGAGGATCGCACTGCACAAGCGTATGTCTGTGTGTGTGTGTGTGTGTGTGTGTGTGTGTGTGTGTAGCCTGGTATTGCCCTGAGTCGCATGTAGAAATGAATCAAGCGAGGGTTGCCAAATCAAGCAAAAACAGGGTTGAGAGGTTTGCGAGGGTATCAGCTGCGACCTCGTGAAAGTTACACATTTTTAATAGGTTTTCTGTGACGGGGTAATAGGTTTCTCAGCTGACGCGGTAAGACAGATCAAGCAACAGAACAGGTTTATTTGAGCAAAGCAACTCCCAGGTGAGTCCTCCAGCCCCATTAAGCAGGGACCGAGTGTGTAGGATAAAAGGTCCAGCCAAAGAAACACCCTGGCTCTGAAACCAGAAACAAAAAAACACACACTGCCTCTGGCCAATTGAATACAAAAAAACAACCAATCCCTGAGCAGGAAAACCAACCAACCCCTGAGCAGGAAAACCAACCAATCGCTGGCCTTTTCCAAGCTCAGGGATTGAAATCCGACCAATTCCCATCCTGATGATCTCCACCCCTGCACCTGCTCAGATTGCTGCTGCCCTTTCCCACCCTGGCGGAGGCAGCCATCCTCCTGGGTTCTTCCCTCCCAATGGATCTCCTACGAGGTTTCGGTGAGACCTTCTTCAGCTTGAGTGGAGCGGAGCAGAGCGTCACAGTTTCGCCTGGGAAATCTTCCCCTAGCGGTGCGGAGCTATAACAAGTTCGCTGGGGAAGCCTCGCCTGTTAGAGCAGGCGAAGCCCTTCCCTGCTGTGCTTACAGTGACAGGGTGGTTCACCTTGGCTCCCTGCTGCCAGGATCGCCTTCCATGCCTACAACACAGCCGAACACAGCAGGGAGCTTATATACTCTGTAGGCAGGGCTGATGCATGATGTGTCCTCTACAAGCTGGGTTTGTGTCCAAGTATGGTCTAAAGCTGACCGCTTTAGGCAGGCTCTTGGGCAGCTGGCAACTTCAGGGGAAGGGCTGCCTCAGCTGCCAAGAATGTGGAGCTGGGCTCTGCGGCAGCTTGTCTTTGTTGGAGATTCTCCGAGAGGGCAGGGTTTGGAGGGAGAGGGATGGGGTTTTCCGGATCAAGCAGGAGTGAGCTGGGGATTCCAGTTGAACAATTTTACTTGTAAAAGTTCAAGTACTACAGAAGCATAAAGTTTACCCAGATAAAGCGCCTGCCTGAGACCCGAAGAGGCCATCAGAGGCCCTGGGACTGGAATTACATGTGACTTGCCAGCTGCCGTGTGGGGGTTGGGAATTAAACCGGTCCTCTGGAAAAGCAGCCAGTGCTCTTAACCGCTGAGCCATCTCTCTCCATTCAGGGATTCTATTCATTTTAAGAATGTGATAATCCTTCACCTAGTGAAGAACTGGTTGGCTCACAACTATCACTCCAGTCATGGGAGAGCCAATGCACTTTTCTTACCTTGTGAGATACCAGACACTCACAGGTTCTAAATGTCTACAAGCAGGCAAACATTCATACACATAAATAAAAGAAGTGCGTGTTTTTAAACTACAAAAATAAAAGACTAACGTAAGACAGGATATCACGGGCAGAGAAAGACCAAACACCTTCCTCCTGCTGAGCTTCATACAACAGAACATCAGGGAGGCCTTTATCTTAGTGCTGTGGATAGACACCATGACCACAGCAGCTCTTATAAAGGAAAGCATTTAATTGGGGCTGGCTTACAGTTTCAGAGGGTCAGTCCTTTGTCATCAGGGTGGGGGGCACAGGGGCACGCAGGCAGACGTGGTGCGGCAGAAGTAGCCCAGAGTTCTACATCAGAATTGTCAGGTAGCAGGAGGACTGAGACATTTGGACCTGGTTTGACCATCTGAGGCATGCAATCCCTCTCTCCGTGACACACTTCTTCCAGCGAGACGACGCCTCCTTATAGCGCCACTCCCTAATGGCCCATGGGGGCCACTTTCATTCAATAGTTCACTCCTATTCTCGGGCATGCTCTCCTTTCTTAATAAACTGCAGCTCAGAACCTTCTCACGTTTTCTTTCCAGCTTCGCCCCTTCTGCCTGTCATGCACCTCTATCGATGGATATGCCTATTGGTACCCTGGCATTATACTGACCTCGGCCCCTGACAACGGGCAGGGTCTGAACACTGGCCTTCAGGCAGATACTTAGACAGCTCAAATGGCCCTGTGTTGCACGGCTGCATCATGTGTCAAGTGGCTGCATAAGGACCCTGTGCCCATGCGCAAGCATTCCCTTTTAAGCGAGCGCCTCCCGCCTGTCCCCGCCCCTCGCCTTCCTCCTTCCAGCTCTGCTCCTGGTTGGCCAACGCCTACCCCTCCCTTTGCTCCCTTTCCGAAATAAACTCCACGTGGGTTTCGTTGAGTTCTGTGGTTCGTGTTTCATCTGCCTTCGGCTTTGGCAAACAACAACAGTGCCTGCTTCTTTCGGGCAACTCAGAAAAGCCACTGGGCCGGGAAGATGGCTCAGTGGGTAAAGGCGCTTGCCGCCAAACCTGAGGACTCCGGTTGTAGCCTGGGCCCCACAGGGTGGAAGGAAAGGGCTGATTGAGGTGGTTCGGGCGAGAGTAGCCCCCTTAGTTTCATGTTTGGATGCTTGGTGTCCAGTTGGTGGAACTGTTTGGGAAGGATTAGGAGCTGTGGCCTTCTCGGAGGAGGTGTGTCACTGGGTGGGGGCAGGTGGGCTTAAGGGTTCAAAGTTCATACTCCTTTTCACTTAGCTCCATTTATTTGCCTCATGCTGGAGACCTGCCTGCCTGGTTGCTGTCATGCTCCCTGACAGGGTGGTCAGGAATCTGTGGGGCCTCTGCAGACACCGTGGCCAGCAGAGTGTCAATCAACCTGACGCAGGAAGGAAGTCCCCATCAGCTGGACGCAGCAGCTAGTATTGCTTCAAACGGAAGAGTCCGACACCAGGCAGTTTATCTCAGACCTTTAAGCATAGCGCAGTTTGGAGGAAAATGTTCCCCATTATAATGGACTCAATCCCACGTATTTAATGAATCTTTAGGCATGACTGCATCAAAACTCTTTGTAAGGAACGTGTGACCTTGCTATGAGCACTTTCCCACCAGCCTGGTCCCAGAGCTGGGTCAGTCCCAAAATAACACAGAGACTCTATTAGTTATTAGTTAGTTGGCCAATGGCTAGAGCTTCTTATCGGCTAGCTCTGTCTTAATTATTAACCCATTTCTATCAATCTAATTGTTTCCATGTGGTCTTATCTTACCGGAGAGAGGGCCCAGACCTCTTTTCTCATGGCCTACATCTTTACTCCTCTTTACTACCTCTCCCAGAATCCTCCTTGTCTCCTAGTCCCGCCTATCTTGCCTTCTTATTTGCTAGCAGTACTTTTATTCATTAACCAATAAGAGAAACATATTTATGGAATGGCATTTCCATCATCTCCTCTTTTCTGTCTAAATAAATAAAAAAAGGTTTTTAACTTTAGCATAGTAAAATATATAACAAAACAGTTATCAAATAAGAACTATAGTTAACAATATTTAGTCCATTAACATTTAGCAAGATTTCAAGAAAATATTCCATCATCTATCCTATCTTTGTGAGTCCTAAAGTCCTATATGTAACTTATCTTTAATCCTAACTAAGAACAACTATAACCATAACTATCTTTAACTCCATCAAAGACCACAGAAGGATAATATATAAACTCTAGAAATGACAGAGATATCTCGAGCTACCTGGACAGTCACCCAAAGTTCTTTTGTAAACGGGAGCATCCATCTTCGGCCCATAGGCCACAGTGTGTCTGGCAGACTTCTCAGCAAAGCAGGAAACTTCAATCTGCCCCACCTGTGTTGGCAGTTTGTCCATGGCAGTTTGTCCTACATAACCTCTTCCATAAAGATCGTTCTATTGACTGAGAAACAATACCAAGAGTCTACAATGCGAGTTCCAGGACAGCCAGGGCTGTGACACAAAGAAACCCTGTCTCGAAAAACAAACAAACAGCAAAAGTCCCTGCTGTCTGTCACAGACTACTCTCTTCCTTTCTCACCCTGTCTGTCTGTCTGTCTGTCTCTGTCTCTCTCTGGTCCCCACTCTGAATGGACTCTCACTAACTGCCCCCAATAAATCCCTTGCTTGACATTCTTGTGTGGTTGTCAGAAGCTGTCTTTGTGGGGCTACAATTAGAAGGAGCTGAGCAGCTCATACCTGAGTGTGTGTTGGGGGGGGTGGATGAGGGAAAGGTTAGCTATAGACGATAAAGAAAAGACAGAGACACAGAATAAAATCGGCAGGGCAGATTCAGTTAACACTGAAATGCCACGAGTTTATTTTTCACCACTCTTATATACCTTAACCCAAAATGGGGAACACAATGTCATGTATACGGAACAAATGGACTTTTCTTCCTCACTTATTCTAGGGGTTCAGGAACCACACCTTAGCTTCAACTTCTTGTTCCCTAGCCTTGAGGATCAGTAGTCACACCTAAGATAGCCAAACACCATACTGTAGCCACACCTTTGACCTTTAGGTCTTATGACTTGCTGGGGGAAGTTTTGAACTCTGTTCTTGAGCCAAGATGGAATGCAGCCCTATCTTTATGGGCCCCCGACATGTGGTGTTGCTTCTACAGCCATCCTTGTCCCAGAGCCACCAAGTTACTCTGCCACATAAA